CGCATACACCAAGTGAGCAGAATGGACTCAAACGAGGGTATGGTTATGGAGAGACCAGCAGTGAAGTTGCGATCCTAGAGCCCTCGCAAAAGCGAACTCGACACTGTTGCAAGTGCGGTTCGCAGGACTGCAAGGGCAAAGGCGGACGCACGTTTTGTATGAATGCTTGTCAGGATTGCGGGAAGATAGACTGCAAGGGCCGGAACAGCAGGCGTCCGGACAAGGTGTGCTCGGAAGCGTGGAATTAGGCATAGGAGTGTGCTGGTATCGCAGGTCGTGCACATGAAAACTTCTTGCCTGCTCTGGGAAGCATGATGTTCTGTATTACTCACATTGCATGTTACGTGTCATTGTGTTAGTTTCTTCATTTGGTATCCTCTTTGTAGCCTCTGCCCTCGCCCGAAATATATTATTGTTCTGGAAAATTGTCGGAGCTGGTGATAAGGTAGTTATATCGGTCGATAAGTGGATATCAAGCGGACAAAGATCTACCTCGTTAAACGCGTTATCAGCTACCTTTCAGATTATCAGATTGAGATGCGGGCATGCTCACCGTAGTGGAAGAAAGGGACTGTTCTTGAGAATTACTCGTCACCATCAATGACAGTCGGAATATAGTACGTGAGGACGCCCCCTGCGTCAGCTATCTCGCCGATGTAGACGTACAAGATAGCACAGTGATTGTGACACAAACCTGCATGGACAAAAGCATTGATGAGAAGGAACGTGCAAATGGGAATACGTACACAAGATTGTGGTGGCAGATACAACATGGCTGTTTAAAAACTTGAGGAAGCTCCGGATGGAGACGAGCACGCAAAACATTTTGTCGGGATCGGGCTTATTCAGCGAGATATCTTCTGCGTCGTCGTCTTCGTCGTTCTGGGCTATCCCGTGTTTGGCTGAGGGGAGTTAGAAAATATGTCGTCAGCAGAGCGGACCGCGTTGTTCACCTATTGACGGGTTACCACATTTAACCCATTGTGTCTCGAGTTTCACGGCGTCGGTGTTGATGGATAATTGAAGGATGCCAGTGTTGTTCGCACGTAATGCAAGCACGTCTGAGAGTGGACGTAGCCTCTCCACTATGGTACGGAGTTTCAGTAGAGGGGGGAGTAGGACATGAACCTGATGTGTGTTGGCTTTTGCGAGACGCAGAATAAAACGAACACCTACCTCTGGGTCTGGGCACCGTGGTTCGTGGAGTTTATCACTTTCTGCTGGCCTCATCACGTCTATGCGTACGTCATGTGCAACGCGGACTTTGCGTCCCGACCTGGACATCCCGTACATCTCGAAGCTCAACACGGCCTGCTCGTTTTTCTTAGCAAGCTTCATGACGACTTCATCAGCGTCGTACGAAGGAAGGATAGCAGCTGCTACAGAGGACGACGATGCAGATGAAGATGATGACCGAAGAGCTGATAACAGTGCTTCTGCAGACAATGTGAGAGTTATTGCATTGTTTGCATTGGATTGAATTCGGTATGATGTGAACATGGTGTCGACCTTTACGACGCTATCCATGAAGGTAAGATGCGTGCAGTAGAAGACACCAGATTCAGCTTACGACCAGACTTGAATCCCACCTTCGTTCGCATCATCATTGCAAATGACGTGCATCTCGGTTTCGGTGAACTTCATGATACATTTCTTCTGCAATTTTTCCACTGCTTGTATGAGACCTAGGAATAGTTCAGAAAGACTGAACATGTAGTCCATATAATGACTGACGATAGAAAGTCGGGACATTCTCTATGGTAGCTCTGAAACGCATAATGGACGTTGGTGGCAGAACGCGACGCGTAAATGGGACACGGTCACATGGGATGCTCTATTAAGTATGTTCGGCAATCCCCGGACGTAACCCCTCGAATCATAGTCCTTACTGGGTTGTGGTTCAAACGTCACTTGTAAACCGTCTTGGTCATCGATTTCTATTCGTCTTTCCATCATGTCGCGAGAGATAGTGAACATTCAAGTAAGTTTACAAGCACCTCTCTGCGATCGTTGTTCTGACTTGTAATTCTGTTGATTTAGGTCGGGCAGGTGAATCGTCGTGCATGCTCGTAGTCTGGGTTCAGGGTTGTTCATGAAAAATAACGTTACAGGCAGGAAACCAAGTTGGAGAGGCCTTCTGGAGGATGCTCTTAGCAGAGCATGGTCTCGACGATGCTGGGGTGAGCAGCTTCTTTGAAGCTCAGGACTCAGTCTATGTAGATATCAGCTGACATGATGGCGTTATATATCTAGATGTACAAAGGCAATGATCCTCAACAAATTGCACGAGTCCGTCATCATAAAATTGCTTACCACCTACCTTTGATCTCTGTCGTTCACAGGCAGGCGTATACTTTACGCAAGTGGACTCTAGTGGACCTACCAAGTACGTTCCGCGAAGCGTTCAGGTAGATCTCGAATCCGGGGTCTGCAATCGCGTCAGTTTGATCGAATTCAAGTTTTATACAAGGTTCTGAATTTTTATAGCTTCGTTCGGGGCCGCTGGGCCAGCTATTTCGTCCAGATACGTACTTCACTAGCGACTCAGGGGCTGGAAATAACTGGGCAAAAGGATGTAAGCCTTGTGGTTCTTTGTACTTCATGATCTGATAATATATCGTAATGCTACTTAGATTACACCGAAGGTGCGGAGATATCGCTACCATCCACTTCCTGAGATACCTGATGAGTCCGAAATTCAGGGGCCGAGCTGATTGACGGCATCTTGGATATTGTTCGAAGACAGTCGGAGGCTACAGAGGCATTGCAAGGATTCCAGATAATCCACTCACTTGGAGGTGGTACTGGCGCTGGGCTAGGCTCTCTACTTCTCTCAAAGCTGCGGGAGGTCTGCCCCGGTAATATTGCTTGGTCTGCCTGTATACTGATCTATGAATAGGAATATCCTGATCGAATGCTTTCTACGTTTTCGATTCTTCCTGCACCCAATGTCAGTGGCTGACATCTCCCAGGTGAGGCTGATGGCTGATATCGACTTGCAGGTCTCCGAAACTGTTGTCGAAGTAAGATATGGCTTTCAATTTCTGGCTGATTTGCCGCTGATCAGCATCAGCCATATAATTCCCTTCTTTCCATACATCAGCTGGTCGATAACTGCGATCTTACTATCTGTATCGACAACGAGGCCTTGTGAGAATTTCCCGATCTGTTTAGCGAGCTAAACCTTAATGAAATCAGGTATGACATAGCTGTCCGCACTCTCAAAATCAAAAGCCCTGGATACAAAGATCTGAACGAAGTAAGCTTCATTGATTTACACCCGTGTGTCATTGTTCAATTTCTGTTGCAGCTCATAGCCAAGGTCATGTGTGGTGTCAGCACGAGTCTGAGGTTTCCTGGTCAGCTTAACGGGTAAGCAATCCCCAATAGATGAGTGTCTAGTCCTTCCAACAATTTCCTCAGTGATCTTCGAAAACTTGGGATGAACCTTGTTCCCTTCCCCCGTGTGAGTTTTGTGTAATGCTTCTTCACTTTGTCTGACTCCATGCTTCAGCTGCATTTTCTGATGCCGAGTTTCGCTCCATTCTACGATCCAAAAGCTCGGACTTTCCAGAGACTCTCTGTTCCAGAGCTCACCTCATCGTGAGTATAACAATTGATGGCAGTCAATTTTCGCTTATTGTGCCGCAGGCTGTTTGACAAAAAGAATCTTCTGGTCGCTTCGGATCCTCGATTTGGGTATGTCATATAACACAAGAATGAACAACTCACTAACATTCGTGACCCCAGTCGGTACCTGACTGCTGCTTGCATCTTCCGAGGCAAGGTGTCGTCACATGAGGTACGTCGATGGTACATGTTTGTGAAAGTGATATCTGATCCTTTTCCATAGGCAGAGGTATGGTGTAGTGCTATCACGAAATCGCACTACTGACGCTTGTGCAGAACTCGGTCATGCAGCTGCAACGGAAGAATTCGAATCTCTTTGTGGAGTACGCAATAGTTCTGGTCTGGCATCGGCTTCACTGACACATTACAGGTGGATTCCGGACAATGTGTCCGTTTCGCTTTGCTCTGTGCCCCCCGTGGGCCAACCTCAGGCAGCGGTAGCACTTGCAAATTCAACATGTATGCAGGAACTCTTCAAGCGCAACCTTGACCAGTTTGCCCTTATGTTCAAGCGCCGTGCGTTCTTGCACTGGTACACTGGGGAGGGTATGGATGTGATGGAGTTCACCGAGGCGGAGAGTAACACTCAGGATCTAATGTGCGTACACATCTGTACCGTCGTACGTCACTGACTGTTGTATCTTCGAAATATAGATCAGAATATCAACAGGTAATATTGCTTGTTTCTTGCGATAGGACAGCTGGTTGATTATCCATCCACAGTATCAAGAAGCTACAGTGGAAGAGGAAGAAGCTGAAGCCGAGAGCGAGCAATAATACAGGCTGAACACCGCGACTTGGGTTATCTTTTTTTCGTTGTTATCGTTCTATTTTTAGCATATATCCACTTCTGCAGCCTATTTTTATTTATGCACGGAGATCCTACTCGGATTGGATTGTTTTCCATGAATCACGACTGATGCTTATGGGTCTTGATGCTTGTTTCCCAGCTCTATCCATTGGAGCTCATCTGAGTATCAAATTTTGGTATGTCCTCAGTTCTCGTGAGCGTCAAAACTGTTGAGTGCTTGCGCTTCAGATGTTATTATTAGAATCACAAGACCAGCATGCTAAGAATGTTGCAATGTTCTGGGTGCGAAATTCTCGGTACATATTCAACTCGTTATTCTGCCACTTCTCATACACAGCAATATGATGCCGAATCACTCAGTGTTGTTGCTCATACAGCCTCCATCTTACATTCCATCAGCGCTCGATGCACATGTGTGGTATTATTGGTGTCGTACCATGTGCGTCTGAACACCGGTTATGTCAGAAGCGGCTCGGGTGATATCACCAAACAGGTTATAAGAGTGAACTGGGGGTTTCAGTTCCTCCAACATCTATAATTATAAGACATCCTTTCAGCGATGGTTTTGACAGTCAATTGGCCCGAGCGCTTTGCTGACCTCAAGCGCGAAATTATGGCAGCGACTCCTGACTACGAGAGGCGCTTGACCGAGTCTTGGAATGATCTTCTCCAGGAACTCGATGAGCGCACAACAGAAATTGCCGACGAGGGCCCAAATGTCGGTCATCTCCAATTTCTCACTTATGAGTCACTAATCGTTCCGTAGTACATCCCTCAAGTCCATTTTCAATACCTGGACACGCTGGTCCCTGAGCAGCTCGATGATATTCGACGCAAGGGCTCTATTGTCATCCATGGTGTTGTTGAGGAGGGTGAAGCTGCCAGTTGGAAGACTGCTTTGGACGATTTTATCAAAGCTAACCCTCACGTCAAAGGTCCGCCTTAAGTCCATAATTGATGGCTCGTCATCTCATTCACCCACAATCCCTGCAGGCTTTCCTGAACAAGACAAGCAACTCTTCTTCCTTTAGTCAGAAATAGTTCCTGATTACCGAGTGTTCATGGATACTGATTCCGCTCGCTAGCTGGACCCGAGCACAAGTGCAAGCACGCGCCCACCCTAACATTCTTAAAGTTTCCACTTGGCTCAATAACCTTTACCGTGCAAAGACCGGCAATAAAATGGAAGGCGTCGATCTCGACGTTCCGTTGGTATATGCAGATCGGTTCCGTATTCGTCACCCTGGTGTGCAGTGTGATGTCCACCCCCCTCACGTTGATGGTGCGCCCGCCTTTCTTGCCAAAACGGTTTTTGATGCGCATTTTAGGTGGTTCCATCGAGCGCTGGGAAGATAACAATTTCCGCAGGTATTTCGCAGATATATTAAGTGGTAACTGGCGTCAGCACGACCCCTATGAACTTGAGGGCCGTCTTGATGCCCATGCATCCTTATGCAGAAGACCTGGACAGGTATGTCGTGTCAGCGCTATTAAATGCACGACTCGCTCTTATTTCTCGTAGGCAACTGTGTTCCGGACCTTCCAGGGTTGGCTGGCTATGAGGTCGGAGTTTCCTTCGATTGAGCTTGAATACGAAGGTTAATATTGATTCCAGCGAAACCGCCCCTACGCAAGGCACCCTGAAAGTATTCCCCGATGTGCCCTTGTCAAATGCGTACATAATCCTTCGCCCATTCTTCCGACCGACTGTCCCCCTCGACTCCAAAGACATACTTGATCCGAAGAGCTGGGTGTTCGGTATGTATACAATGACTTGTATTTTTTTTAGTATCCCCCTGAGTAGTAATTCCAGATATATCCACTCCCGATTTTCCTGGCATTCAGTTTCGAAACGGCGGCTGGGTCGACCTACGACCTACCCCGGACTTGCATCCTCATCTCAGGCTACATGACACCATGACCTCTGTTCCCAAAGTCAATCCTGGTGACTTGATATTCTGGCACTGCGTGCGCCATGCGCCCACTGTTATTCTTTATTCTTGTTGATTCTCTGCACAGGATGTTGTTCATTCTGTCGAGCAGGAGCATACCGGTTCACGCGACTTTGCCGGTGAGTCTGATTCAATGAACTTTGTGTAAATGCGCAGATCTGATCGGTCAATGTCCAGTCATGTACATCCCAGTTGTTCCGAAGACCCCTCAAAACACAGCCTACGTCAAAAGGCAGGCCGAGACCTTCCTTGCCGGCACCAACCCACCTGACTTCGCGAGCGACGGGACGGGCCCCCTATACATTGGACTTGGAGTCGATACAGATGTTATCCAGCCTATCAGCCGAATCGCGATGGGTCTCCCTGTTGTTGTCGCATAGTAACAGATAGTGACAAGAGGTGTGTAAATTTGCAATATATGACATTCACCCGTCTCAACTTCGCGTGAAAAACGGAGATCCGCAGTCCCGAGAGATGGTCAATATATATATATGAAGCATCTACTACGGGAGGAAGTGTCTATAGCTGCTAGTACAGCAATCAGAATGAACAGGAATCACCACTGGATCAGGCACGACAAGCAGCAGCGACACGAACGTGTTGCCAGAGCGGTTGCTGTGAAATTGTGGCTGTCGACATTTCGATTGCAAAGTGGAGCGAAGCTGGGACCGTCAATTTCCAGGCGCGAAACTGGGGGCAGTGAAATCTCGCGGAGAACGGCACAAATCCCGTGCATGACCCATTGTCATTGACCGTCCTACCTACACCATTAACACCAAATTCTAATATATTCATGTGCCAACTGTTTAACATTCAATCTCAGTGAAAATCGAACATGGCCATTTCCACGCAGATATACTGTGGCTATGGCACTTCGTATTGCGCAGACACGTGTCGGTATCTGCGCCTTCCACAGCTGCGAAAACGATGCACATCGGCGCGGGTGAACTGTATGTCCCTTTCATATCTTGCTGGCTTCGACATAAATATACGGAAATCGATGCATTTCAATATAACATACAATGGCCGCCTGAAACAGGCAAGTTGAAATCGAAGCTCAAAATACTCGAGCAACGAGATACGTATTATGCATGGACCTCTGAATCTAATTGAACACATTGAGACGTTGACGGTTGAACTGCACATTCTTGCAGTATTGAGCATGCTGTACTGCTCAAATCGTAGACAGATTGTTCAACATGTATTTGCACAACTTAGATTTCTATCTATACGAGTCTGTTGGGCTACTTGAAACTTACAAATCCCGTCGATCTGCGTAGGAATGGCCATGTCCGATTTTCACTGGGGGCTGGCGCGCGCGCGGTTACGATATGAGCAATACAAGAAAGTATGTGAGATAGCGAGTGTCCACCCACCTGCCATATATAATGTCTTTACAACCAGCGTTTGATTGCGCCCACGTAGGTTTACGTGTGACCATGTATCGTCTGAAACCCGATGCTTGATATCGTACATACAACATGGAGCAAATGATATCGAAAATTGGGAAAACTGATACACCGTAGTCACAGACTGACAGTATACACTTTAAGAAATTTGGAATTGCACGTGTAAACGTACGCGTTATGCCCACCCAGTCGGCCTTTGCCTCCTCCTTAATGCTAATGCACGGATGGGCACATAACAGTCTAAATTAGGCAATAACTCATTTCCGCAATTTTATTATGTAATTGTGATGTGTCATCTACTGGTGAAGTGATCTGCGATGTGTAAATGCCAGCTAGTGTTGCTGCGAGGCGAAGTGAACCGAGACGAAGTGTCACTTCGTTATGACCTCGATTTTCGAGGTAGAACGAACCGAAGTGCATCGAAGTTGGGCCGAGTGACGAGCCAATCGGATTCTTGCTAGATTGTACCTTGTAGTTCAATAGATATGAAGTAGCTATGTACTAGTATCAATATGCGACGCGCGTAGATATGCTACCTGTGTTGGCTTTGCATTTCTTCGTTGCAGTGCCAGTGGGTCTACCAGTACCAGTACCAGCCTTCTGTTTCCTAGTAGTATTTGGTGCTGGATTCTGAGTAGTTGGCATGGTCAGGTGGTTAATGGTTGCTGCTGTGATGTTGTTGAAAGGTTGTGGACCTGGGTGTGCGACTTGGAGACCATGGTTAACTGCTGCAAGGCCAGGGTATAAGTTTTGATGACTCGGGTGAGGATGTGTGAAGGCGTGCAACTGCGACAGGGCACTTGTGACAGGCAATGGGACATACTGTAAGTTTTTGAGAGTAGTATCTGGTGCACTGTTTGCAAGTCCATAGGGCTGATGAGAATAGAATGCAGCAGTGGTCTGTTGCGGCACCGTAGTACTAGTACTGGGGCTTGGGGCGCTGTTCCAACTCATTTATTCAATGTGAATTCATGAACAATCAATACTCATATGGTGGCACACCTGAAATCAGTTGCCAGTCCGAGGAGGCAGCAACATTCAATAGCAGTGGTAAGGAATCAAATTGGACAGCATTGGAGGCGCAGCCCACTAGCACAACATGAAGCTGAGTTCTGTTAGCGAAAACATGCAATACCGCACAGGACTGTGACAACTTGAAGACTTCTGAAGACATTTGCAGCTTCATATGATACATTTGAGCGCACACAAGTACTACTGTGAGGTATCACACTGTCACGTCATATCTAAACGATCACTGACAAATCCGGTGTAGATAAAGTACCTCGTTGCCACCTCGTTGATTTTCCTGAACGAGGTATGTACAACGAACCGAGGTGGATCGAACTGCCTCAAATTCGAACCGAAGCGAACTTACCTCGAAGTCACCTCACTTCGACAGCAACACTAATGCCAGCACAATGCAAAACTTCTTGGGCTTGAACGACGTAGCTAGTAAAACCTGAATGGCAGGTTATACAAACCATTCACACTATATAATGTCACAATCGAACCCCACACCATATCATGAAACTAATGTCTCGTCCTGACACGGATCTGTTGAATTCCTTGTCCCCCGAACTCTCTCAGCGGCTCAAGGAGCTCATGGACCAAGCCCTTCTCGGGTTTATACGTCCAAATTCCACTTCTCAATTTGCTCAGCATGCTCCCGAGTTGGCGAGGTTCCGCGAGACCCTCGCGCACAGCGATTCGAAGGACGATATTCAATTTCTACGCAGCTTCCGAGAATCCGTTCCAGCCACAGACTATGAGCCTTACAGGCCATACGTAGCGAAGTTTTTTGCAACCCATTGCAATGAATCTGATGTAAAGGACCTGCTTGCTCCAGGACTGCCCTACTGCATAGGTATCTCCAGCACGACATCTGGCAAACCAGTAAAGACATTTCCAATATATATGCTTGCCCCACACATGTGGCATCACCCTCTGTATCCGTCGATCACCCATTCAGAGGGTAGCGCCTTATCACCATCCTCTTTAGGTCTTTGGCAAGTCTTGAAAATGTATTGTGAGGACGGTCAGAGCTCCAAGATGTTGTCGGTCTGCTCGGCAACCGCCGGTTATCAGCGAATGAAAATGAACTGGGATGTCGAGCATGACATGGACAGACTCGGTTTGTGGGGTAAGTCCGTTGTGTCACCTTCCCTTGCGCCTGCTGATATCCATGTAACTTTCAGTTCCGGGACAAACGGTTCCACACGCGATTTCCTTGGTGAAGAGCTATCGTGCTTTCTTCATTCTGAGTGCGCTATTTGCACTCGCAGAGCGTCAGGTGACAACCATGCGCTTCCTCTTCGCCAGTGTATTCGTCAGTTTTTTGCAATACATAGAGGATGAGTGGACTCTACTCATCGACTGCATCGAGAAAGGGATAATCCCGGACATGGATAACATGGACCACGTGCGAGAACCTTTGCAGGTCATATTTGCGTTGATTGTTACATTTCATTCAGCTCACAATTCCTCTCAGAAACATTTTACTCCCAACCTTCTTCGTGCTGCCGAACTTCGCGAAATTGGGCCTCCTGGAGTCCAGGGCTGGGCAGTCCGTGTGTGGCCTGACTTAAAAAGGTTCATTGGGGTCACTGGAGGCCCCGCCGCTGCATCCGTTTCAAAGGCACGTCAAGTGTGGAAGGTTGACTATGCAATTAACTGTTAGCGACACAAGGTTACTCACATCCTTGGACCTTTTGTCGTAATGCAGGCTCCTTGCTATGGTAGCACAGAATGTCATATCGCCATACCATATTTCAACGGCGATCCTAATACCGACTTTAAGGTAATACCCGTAGATGGGGTCACCGAATACCTGGACGTGCATTCCAACGAGCCTTCGGAGCGTGTATTATCCGCTGTAAGAACCATTCACTACATCCCAGTTCTATCTGCTCATCCCTGCAGTGGGAACTTGTGACTGGAGGGCATTACGAGCCCGTCTTGACGACCCGCAATGGCTTGTGGAGGTACCGCATCGGTGATGTCGTCGCCGTTAAAGGCTTTGCGCCAGATGACGGATTACCCGTAATCAATTACCTTCATAGGCGAGAGTGAGTTACGATGTGATTTATTCATGGCCTAGCAGCTGAGATGCCCGTCGAAAAAGTGGCTCACTTGGGCTGGCGTATGGATCAACGTGTACAGAGTCGCAATTGACGGACGCGATCGTATCTGCCTCTAAACGATGGATCGGCCAAATCATAGATTTCACTATTGTGGGTGACGACCGAGACACGCCAATTACTTATGGGTATTTGGTAGAAATTGGAGGGGAAATAGGTTTGTGCTTGCTTCGGAGCTCTTCCGCGCGACTGCGTTAACTGATGTTCACAGGAAAGGATGCGAAAATGGCGCCACAGCACACTTTTGATGACCTCATGAGAGACAGTATGTTTGCTCTTGCGTTTTTGCAAGGGAGAGCAAGATCGCCAACCGTCCGTCTCGTGGAGAGAGGCACATTTAGAGAATATCGCAGGCAGAAATGCGACAAGGCGAACATCTCGATAGCCCAGGTGAAAATTCCCGTCGTCCTATCCGACGCGACCTTTAAGGAATGGCTCCTGCAGAGAGTCATCATGGAGCTGTAAGATACTATACAAGAGTCCGGTCAAATTCTTGAAGAGGGCAAGACGAATGATTTTGTAGCAATTACCACTGAATATATTGCAGTCTTGGGAATTGTTGTCAAGATGTGGGGGGTTTTTATATTGACAGGCGTGTGCGTTTTGATCCAAACCATGTAATATAAAGCAAGGTCTTTGTTGTTTTTGTGGGGCCTCGCAAGCACTAAAGAGTTCTATGTTGCAGTTGTTGTTTATTTAAATACACGTGAACAGGTTGTTATCTATATGTACTTTCAAAGCTATCATCTAGATTTGGCGCGCGGGTTGTTCAATGGCGCTGTATAAACTAGCCAGATTAGTGGGACGTATTTGCTTAAGCACATCGCCCTACCTAGATAGAAGGGAAGTATGGGTTCCAGCCTCCACCACTGCCCTCACCAAGTAGAAGCGGACTCTGAGGCATTGTTTCAGGCGGTGCGAAGCCAATAAGGGGAGGGAGCGTCCAAAGTGGTGACAATCCTTCGGGAGGCGAAGGAAGCACAGACGATGATTGCTTAACCACTCCACTCAGACCCTCACACACAATGATGCTTGGGGGCAGGTACTCCATAGGGGAGGGTGTGCTAGGAAGTTCTATGGGGCGAAGGTAAACCTTCGGTGGCTCACGCAGATGGGAACTCTGCGGCGGCAGGTTTGGCGGGCGACCCGGAGCTGAGTCTTTCAAATTATGTCCAGAGGAAGACTTGATGGCTGGCATTGTGCAAGCGCGAGGAATGGGCTTCGAAAGATATGCTGACGGTAGAGCCAGGCCAAGTCCAGCAGGCGGCTTTGATAGCGTCATAGTGATGAGTTCATAATCCGGAACAGCGCGTGTGTTAGAAATAGTATCAAGACAAGCGAGCGAGCGTTTGTGAGTAGTATTTGAGTTAGGAGCGATGGCTTTAGTGGTAACACTAAACGGGTGGAGGGACAGGATGGAAGCAGCTCGTTTGCGTTGTTTTGTGTCCACTCGTAGGAACTTGGGCCTTGCCTTCTGGGGGTTTGGGGGAACTCTCATATTCGCCCCGCGAATATCACCATCCGACTCATATCCCACATCCTCCTCGACAATAGCAGGGTTTATTGGAGAACGGAACTTTGAATCCTTAGGAGTGGCATCGCTGAGCGCGTGCGAGACCTGCTCGCGAGCTTTAGACAGCTTTGCGGATGCAGCAGCGATGAAATCTTTTGTCTTTTGGGACGATGATTGCAGATTCGGAGAGCCTGGGGGACTGCTCGAAACCTCTGTGTGTAAGCTGGAAGCATCAGAAGCCCTGATAGAAGAAAGATGAACTAGATCTCGAAGACGACAGGGAGGTTGAAGAAAGGCTGTGCGTCCGAGAAGAGCTTTCAGAAGATGAAGATGAGCTAGACATCATGGTTTCCTGCAGTAAATGTGGTTAGGTGACATTCGACCAGGTAGGCGACTTATTCATCATATCCTGGTCTGAATCAAAATATGATCTGGTAGAGCACTGAAACGATTGCGTCAGAGTTCCCTAACATTGTTTGTAGTAGTAATACATCATAAATACATTGGCAAGTACGAAGTTTCTACCATTTTGCGTAGGGCAGGAACTTGCCACTGTAATAGGGTATCACCAGATGAGGACCTGAGCAGGAACGTCGGACAGCATATGGCAACTCACTCGAAGGTCAAAACAACACGATCACCCTTCGGGTCCGGCTTCTTAGTAACGTTAACTTTGCAGTCGATCATGGACATGATGCCGTCACCAAACTGCAGAAACCAAATTAACATATTGGCGAGTCGAATTTCAAGTCTCTCACCTTCTCATGAACGACAGCCTGATTTTGATCGTTTGATGAGATTGTGGCATAGATGATATCAAACGCGACTGACCTTGATGGCATGCCCATACACGAGGACACTCTCATATAGACGATAGAGGACGGGATCGGTGGGAGGCATAGGTCCAAGGCTACCACGATTAGGCCACCAGTGGGAACCAAGTTCACTCTGGACACTAGCAATGGGAATATCCAAGACATTTGCAACAGCTTCGAGCTCCTCGGGAGACATTTTGGCCTATGGGAACACGTGAGCGATTGCGATCCAATCCTAGTGTGCAGACGAACCTGTCCATAGAAAGCTGCAGCTACCCAGATCTCATCTCTTCCGATTGCCTTAGAAATAGCTTCAAAGGACAACCCTATTGCGTGTTAGAGAATCTATAGCTCGCCAGCGCCTATGCCTCACCTTTCTTTGCTTTAGCCTCGAAGAGTGCCGCCACAATCGGGGGCAGGTCAGCATAAGGCAGGGTGTTCGATGAAACAGCCTAGTTACTCAGTCAAGGTATTGTAATGAAAATCAAGAAAAATTTACTGACAGCAGCTTGCGACATTATGGATGAGCGAGTCTAGGGCAAAATGATGAGAACCAAGTATTGAATCTATATAGATCTTATTTATATCTATGCGTGCACGTGACTCCAGATATCACTTATGAAAGTGGGAAGGAGTTGGGCCCCCGTTGATGGCGAACTCACGGAAGCACGAGGCAGTATAATTGCAAAGGGATGAATTTTCTCGTCTTGGTCCGGATTGGTCCGGAGACTAAAACTTCCCAGTCATTTTATTCGTATTTCTCAGCCTTCCCAGTCGTGTCAAAGGCGGAGCGGCTAGGATTTTGCGGAACCAAGCGGAGTGGAGTATGCACACGAAGGACGGAGTATGGATGACTGAAGGTGTCAGGTCTTGGTTTTAAATTTGGCCTTGGCGGAACGTGTAGGACTTCACGGAACCAAGCGGAAGGGTGTATGTAAACGAAGGACAGGTTATGGATGACTGAGGATTACATTTCTCGGTCTGAGAGCCGGCCGTGCCGGAACGCGCAGGGCTTCACGGAACCAAGCGGAACGGCATATGCGCGTGAAGGACAGGTTATGGACGACAGCCGCTGAGTATGCTATTCCTTGGTCTCAGACTGGGCCTGTTCGCTATTCACCGGTTTCCATATCTCTTTAGTCGCGTGCATGAACTCATACAACTGTCCAAGTTGTTCTGCAGACATCTGAACACATGTTAATACCAGTAAACCAAATCCATAGATGAGCGGAATCATAAAGACCTTTTCATATACCGTAGGATCTAGTTTTTTGAAACTTCTCGAGTCTGAGGGATCTCGCGGTAGCTCATCCAAGTACATCTTCCACTGTGTCAGGAATCCCATGATGTGTACTGGATTGGTAGTCTCTCTATGCCTTCTAAACTCTTTAAGAACAACGGTGAGCTGGTGGCGCGTCACTACCGTAGAACACATACCAGCTTTGACATAGTCATCACCCAATGAACGCATTTCAATCGGGAGCCTCCTGTGCGACCTGAGTAATCTGCGGTATAAACTACAATACGCCAAAAGTAAAAATTGAGCCACTTGCCGTCGCCAAAATATAACAAACAGACATACGGAATTGGCGGGTATAGTGCAACGCTCGCCTGACGTAGGTCTAGATGCTTCGTGGTCGCAGATTCTGCAAGGCGAACAAAAGTAGAGCGCATTGTATAGTTCCTTTTATTTGCCCTCGGTCGTTGGTTTCGTTCGTACTTCCGGGTGGTTCCGTACCTCCAAAGTTATGAAGAACAGTAGGCACTGAAATTGGTAGGTTATGATCTCCCAGTGATTGTATAGAGACGATTGTTGTGATATAGACTTAAAGCGAGAGTGGCGGAGTAGATAGTCAGTATAATAGAATATCGGAAATGACCGAACCTACTAAGTAAATTATCTGCTGTAGATCCAAGGAAAATACTATAATTGGAAGTTCCTTCTTTATTCTTGGACTTGGTCAATGTCTGTATGAAAATCTGTCCGCAGTTTGTATTCCACACTCAGTGGTAACTAACATATCCCTGGCTATTTTTGGCTCGCAGGGAGATGAAGACAAGTCGCTACAGATCATAGGACCACCTTTCAAAACATGTTAAACACTATTCGCCTCATTCAGAATGCGTCCGCTGCTAGACGTTCTGAGAAGGTCGGCTCAGAATCTTGATGGATATCTAGATCACCAAAAATCTCATTTGCAGTCCGTATTCTGTTCTGCAGATACTGACATGAAGACCACTGGCAAAGTCCTTCTGCGTCAGGCACGAGGACAACATCGCCCGTGTTCCTCGATCGAGATACAACCCCGAAATTCGGGTATGTGTAGTACCAGGAGAGGTGAGTGCGATAAAAATGAGCTGATTATCCGTACTTCGAAAAAGTTTTCCGTAGCACCTTTCAACCTCTAGCCTCGTTAACTACCCCACATGCTCCTGCAATTTCCGCTTTTGATGCCGAGCTTGAATCGGAAAATAGACCGAAGGGGGTTGGGTCAGTACTGAGTATGGCTTGGCCTTGTACATTTACTCATGTACGCAGAGATCCTCAGAGGTCCACCTCAACCTGTCATCGTCACAACAGATTTGAAATTTGTTCTCAGAGGACGCTGGCTGGAAACCTGCTGGATTTTCCTTTTGTCTGTGATAGTTGACTATCTGTCCATGACAAAGACTAGTTCCTTGCGACGATAATCTCAAAAACATTTATCTTGACTCAAGTATATAGGTGTCACCCTGGTCGAGGATTGGTGCTGTGCACCGCTATGATACGGCAGTGTATGTTTTCTAATGGCTGCCCATGCTTATACTCTTGTCTGACTTATGGCGCCAAGATTCCCATGGTCTCGCTGTCATTTTCCGAATGAGATAGCCCATAGTAATGATCGTTCTCCAACTGTGCGGTGCTGGCCATATACAACCATGGTGAGGGCTGGCGAGTGGTCACTGGGCGGGGCTAATCTTCGGACATTAACCTTATGTGCGACAATACGCACGGATGCTCGCGCCGGTTAAGAGAGGCACGAGTCATTCAGTCTACTCGAGGCTCCAGAGGACACGTCTCCAGGAGCATATCCAGCCCAAACACCGTAACACACTCAAGGGAAGCCGGATCCTGGTTGACTACAAAAGATCATCACAACCTGCTCGATAATTGAAATTCGTCGCTGGGGATGTTTTATCACATGCAGTACGTTCGAAGGTATTTAAGGTGACTCAACACAGGCTCCAAAAGCACTTCAGCGGTGCATCATGAGTCTATTAAAGATTCCCTTCATCATAGCTCCGGCTATTGGCGTCCATATTTCGTTCAGTTCTTCTTCTCCACCGCCTTCACCCGAAGAGAAGGTGGAGTCCCCCACGCTCGAAATCATCATTATACGGTTTCAGAGTCTTTGGGGTAATAATACAAAGAAGGTGTGTGGCCTCGAAGTATCGGTCGTTATTTATATGGATCGGTGGATGATATAACAGATCTGCACATGGGCAGCATCATCTGCTGAAGTTGTCAACATCCTTGTCATGCATGTAGATCCCTCGCAGATTCCAGAGGGCATCTATGGCGCCAGAGCTCTGCAGCTTTTGCGCGTTCTTCACCCCACGCCAATCACTCCCGCTTTCCTTGCCGGCAGTCTTGCTGTCACGATTGGCGGCGTGTTCAGGCTTTATTGTGTGTCAACCTTAGGGAAATATTGGAGCTGGCCGCTCAGCATCAGACGAGACCACAGACTTGTGACGAGCGGGCCATATTCTCTCGTTCGGCACCCAAGCTATACCGGTTTCCTTCTCCAATATATTGGGCTCATTGTCATGTATGGAGAGCAAGGATCGTGGTTGAGGCAGTCTGGGATTTTACAAGTACCTTTAGTAAACGTGCTAGTAGCATTTGGCTTCATCGGGTTTACAGTATGTGCTTGGATGGCTATCAGCCGACCTCCAGTGGAGGACAAGATGCTCCAGCGTGCACTGGGAAAAGACTGGGAGAATTGGGCGAAGAGGGTGAAGTACCGATTGCTCCCTGGGGTTTATTGATCATATGCATACTGAGCGCTCCGCTTGTTTGTTTGTTTGCTGTACGAGATTGGTATCCTGGGTCTGTTGTACATATAATATAAACCATGAAAAAGGATCCGCATGCATGGCAAGGATGCTAGCCACTTCAGCAGATGATGCTGCCCATGTGCAGATCTATTATATTGTCGAATCAGACAACGACCGATATTTGTATGGGAGCAACACCTTATTTATATCTACACCCCGAAGTCTCAAAAGCCATGTCATGAAAAATTCGAACACGTTGGGCGCCATCTTGCTTTCAGCTGACGAGGGCGGAGCAGAAGAAGTGAGCGAAACATGGACGCCAAAGCCGAAGCTACGAAAAGGGGATCTTCAATAGACTTATGGCACACCGCTAAACTGTCTATGGACTCGCTATCATATACAGTCTTCCCTATGCGCTTCTCATGTGGAGTTCAGCTACAGTTGATGATTGACTTTAGGCAAAACTCACTGATTACCTCCAGTATGGTGTTCTTTGTTATCGCTTTTGCGCACATGGTATTCTGCTCAGTGATGCAAAACGCTTTCAGCGCCACTGGTGGTCTATTATACATTATACATCTTTGTATTTTAGACGGTGTAGACGACACGTGCTGCATCCGAACGAAAGGACCCCCCTGAATCAAATTAGTGGCGCTAATACCTGTACTGTTGTGCGTTGTACATCTCGCTTTGCTGAAGCGGGTGACATGGTGACATCCAACTGAGCATAGATCACGCTCCCAGTGAGAACGACCAGTGATCGATCGAGCGATGTTGATATCATCTTGCCGATCGCACAGCGTAATATTTCACAGCGAGGAAGGGGGTCTCATGCACACCCTCAAATGAAACTCCTCGCAGGAGCTCAGCTGAGGCGAGTGGGAAGAGGATGTAGGCGATGACGAATGTGGACAGCAGGTAACAATAACACCGGCGGAAGTTGGTAGAGATGGTACATCTTTGACAGACGAGCACTTGGACATCCCACTGTCCTACTGTCCAGCCATGGAAAATCACAAACATGTCTTGCATACATCACGATCGTGAGATAATCATACAAGCATTCTCCAACAGACGGGTCAGAGCAACAGCAGCTGGTTGCTACCACTTGGGTCTCCCTGCATTTGAAAACACCTATTCCACCTTTTCGAACTTCCAGTACTTCGCGTCCGAGTCAGGATCTGGCTGAACAGTGATCTGGAGTGAGGTTGGTCATGAATAAAGCCAAAACAGATCAGCAATGAAAACAAACAGGGGTCCAGTCTTTGCCTTCTTTGAGGAACCACACTTCGGAAATGTCCTGTTGGTGGATCCTGCGGATAAGGTGATGAATAATTCTCGATACAACTGGGACCGAAGACTGCACTCACACAACTTTTTTGCCGTCGTCACTCGGCAACTGGAGCACCTGGGGATCGATGAAGCCTTTGGCTTTGCCAGCCTACAATTTCGCGCTGTTAGCAATTCCGCGTCCGTCAACACCAGACAGACCAACATCCAAATCGCACCCAAGGTAGAAGCCTGATACAGTATCACGGAGAGTCGCAAGATGCTGAACCTTGTCCAGGATATCGACTTGGATCTATGGGCATTGATGAGTATGGGAGGCACGTCGCTGTAACGATGCATGTGTACGATTAGAGCAAGGTTGTGGACGATCAAGCCCGTGTCTTCTGACATGTAGACGTATAGGTTTGGATACTTGAAATTGGCGATCTTGTACTTTCCGGATTCGATCATGTTGCTCATGGTTGATTGAAGATTCTGTTGAGTACTGATTGAGAAAGGTTGTTGATAGAAGCTGCTGAGTGCAGCCTGAGGATATGCTGCGACCTTTATACCTGGCTGAAAGCTCCATCACTAGTTCCAGATAGGCCTCCATCATCCGAGTCTCTTGGGATCACAAGTGCGTCAAGTGCCTCCCGAAATGAGACTTACCTACATTATCAATGACCTAATCATCCCTCGGGTCGCCTCCGGTTCATTAGTATTGATCTCGTACATTCCCAGATGTCGAACAACTCCTTCTTACCCCGCTGCATCCCCATTTCAAACGGGGGTTGTAACAACTTGCAGCAGAGTTACCAGTTCCCCGCCACTCGTCCGAAAATTCTTGGTTTTCAAAAGTTGGTAATTCAGGGGTGCAGTGAATCTTCCATTCAAACTGTCGTTGATGTGATGAAGACTCACCGAGTTCGGGTCCAAGTATTTACGATGCACGGGGATCAGACAATCCAGCTTCGTCTACCACATAATCATTGATGTCAGACAAACGGCGGGTTCCGAGCGGCACCTTACACATAATGGAAAAAAAATGTTTCATACCTTCGTTTACAACTAAAAACAGCTGTATGGCCGGTCTGCGCCTTCCTAGTGATAATGAGATAGATAGACGTGTAAGTACAAATCGAGGTAGAGACTTGATTTGCATATCTCTCTCACTCAAGATTAACAGAGCAATTCCAGTGCATTGCATGGAGCTGTAGAGTAGTGGGTCATGGATGATACAATGCCCGGCGGAGGATTTTTAATGCCACACAGGTGTTCTTCAATTCACAGAGGATAAGGCCCACGTACCTCAAGAGGAAAGTCACTGAAGTTTGAGAAATGGGCGGCAGGTTCTTGCAGATAGGTTATCGCATACCAAGAAACCCATCTCAAAGAGCGTGTGAAGCTCTAAAAAGTGCTGCCAAGGGTGGGTTGGAAGGTTCCCTTGCCATACCACTGTCAGCCTATAATATACATCAGAATTATATCACCCTTGTAGAATCGTGTCTCATGTTGTATATGTGTGACACTATGAGAAAGATATCTAAAACTAAAACTAGATGTATAATAATGTTTTTTGTTTGTCACATGCATCTGGTCATAACAGACTCAGGTCAATTTCATGATTCGGAGCCGGCAATGACTCTCTAGGCATACTACACGTCGAACTCCCATGTAATAATTTTGAATCATCAATCCGAGGGTCAAGGTTACTATGCATTCCTATGCTTTCAGCATCAGGTCCGTTTGCAGAGAATTGGAGATTTACTGCAGACAAAACCCAACTTGGGAGTTGGGAACACCATGCCTTTCCCACTTGACATTACATTGTGTTCGAACACATCACGTTTGCAGCACATATATTATTATATTCATTGAGGATTACTATGCAAGTATGTACTACACGAACCAAACGCTTGATTATGATCCCAACGTCTGTAACAATGCAGTCATAGGAGTCCAAGAGAAACCGAGAGTACGGGCTTCACAAGGTACATTGTGAATTTTCGGTACCCTCTCGTCTCAATGACCATACAGCTGAATCATTTCATCGACAAAATCACCGTGTCGCTGAACTTCTGAGAGCATGTCCGCACAGCTGCATGACGCGGTGTTAGATAAGTACTGCCAATGTTCCAGCTTTTGCGATGGGTTCCTCCAGCAAGGAACTGGAAAGTTGACATGGCGTGTCCACGCTTGAACACAAACCTAGTTCTGGAATCAATGCCTTATGACGAAGGCAGGAAAATATCCTCGCGGCAAAACTTGACGCAATTAAATCTTAGAATCGTCACTGCAAAAATTAGAGTAGAACTTACTACGCCCAAGACTTGAACTACGCATCTTCTCCGAATGAAAGTGGTCCCTTCCGTGTTTTCTTCGACTTTTTCTTCGATGCTTTTTTGGTGCCTTCATCGCTGCCATCCAAATCTCCGACAACCTTTCGCTTGAGCTTGTTAGAATGTTGGGCCTTCGCACCCGAAGAAGAAAACGACAGAGTGACGGCAGCCTCTTTTTGCTTCTTCTTCGAGGAATTCATGTCTGATTTCGCATCATCCTTGGTATCATTCTCAACTTTTTTGTTGGGATCAGGGAGTGGTGACAATCCTTTCTCTAAGCGATCTTGTCACAAAAAGCGAAAGGTTCTGTAAGGTGACACGCACCTTTCCGCCTCTCATTCTCTGCTTCTCTCTCTGTGAGATGCTTGCCTTCTTTCAGCACAACTACCTGAGGTCTTTCATCAACATCATCCTCGTCTACACTTCCAGGATCATCGTCGGGTCGTTCGGGTATCGCAGGACGGACAGGTATTGGTGGACGTCCCGAACCGTCATCATAGTACTGTGGCTCATCTTCGTCTTCGTCCGTTATGCCCTGAACTTTATTCTGAAATTTCTGCAAGAATGCAGGAACATGGGATTGGTAATGTAAGCGAGAGGAGAGCTGTTGTCGGGTGGGTTCCTTGGCAGACATAACACCTAGTCCTACTTAACTCATGAGAGTTGTATATCGTGACAGCACTTGTTTGCACGTGTATTGCTTTGATTATGGGTATGTATGCATAATTGCATATGTATGTTTTGCCCCTTGAGATCTTGAGAACTTGACGATCTCGAAGTCAAGTCATAAGCAGATGCTGGGACTCACAGGATACTGCAGGTATATCACGAGGCAATAGAATCTCTCAAGTGTATGATCAATCGCAAAGGCCACCACCAATATGTGCCTTTCCCTCGTCTCCCTTGATGATGATACCCTCCTTGGCGTCTTTTCTGCGCTGACTGTTCCAGATGTGCTCAACCTGAGACAAGTGAGACTATTTCAGCTCAACCGAGAATTTTGCTCACTTTTGCTCGAAATATTAGACATGCCGTAGGCTGCTAGTTTTTTCAAGTCAGCAAATTGTATGGCAGAATATCGCTTCTTCTCAGATATTGCAGCAGGGTATACCCTTCTCTAAGAAACCACTCTCGAGTTTCTCTGTTCGTGATCTGGAGGACAGAGTACGCCGTGCCTACCATCTGGGGAAGGCTTGGAAAGCTCCTTCAATTACATTTCGCGCGTCTGGCTTCGCAGCGAGCAGGGGGGGGCCTATTCAAGACATCTACTTCATTCCAGGTTATGATCGGAGATGGCTCATCACAGTCTCTCAGGGTATCTGGTCGATGATCACACTTTGGGATCGCCGTAACTTGGCGCGAGTCACTTCTTGGTCCCCTCAAAAGGCTGTCTTCTCTGCTCTAGCAGTGAACGCGTCTGAAGACTGTGAAGCTGCTCTCGCAGTGTCACTGCACAGATACGAGTCTGTATTACCTTACTGACCACGCTCGTCATTGCACTAAAGCATTCGCAGTTCCGTTGTGGTTGAGATATTAGCTATCACGTCTACAGCGCCAGACTCTCCGCCAGGATTTGAATGCATTGCCCGACTCGACACGTTGCGTCAACCAATCGCTATGTGCGGGTCATTACTGGCCTTGGCTGACGACGAATCCGAGACAATAATATGGAACTGGAAAACGCAGGAGTACGCGATCTTACAAAGTCCCGTTGATACGGACCTTTGGCGGGTATGTGACTCCGTCAATTATCAGCCCCTTTTTCATTATTATGAGATCTGTAGAACAAATGCACTCAGGTCGTCTTTGCATACAAGACCATCCTTGTTGTTAGAGCTCGTTCAGTTCATGCATTTGCGGACCCAAAACTAGCACCATATCCCAACACATGTGTCCATCATCCTTATGCCCAGAACACATTTGGCTGGGTGGATGGTATCTCTGTCTCTGTTCCGCCATCTTTGCCTGAGGATCCCACAGGAATGGAAGGACAGCCTCTGTCAGTTCTTGTGCGCACGAAGAATGACGACCCGTGGTCGTCCACGTTCAAGATGCAACTCTGGACTTTGAGTCCAATGACCTCGTCTCATGAAACTGTTGACGACGGGCCATATTACAAATTTCCCCCTTCTATGACTACAGAAATCGTCACACCGCGTCGGGGTGCCCTACGATGCACTGACATGGTGCTTGGTCCGTATGGAACTGCAGTCTGGGTGCAACCAGAAGACTATTCAGTTGCAGGTTTAATCTCTTCGAACGTTCACTTGCAAAATATGCCTGTGCCACAGTCTCACGAAACACTTGTAGCCGCCGCCTTCCCTGGATTGCTCAATACTCAGGATGAATCGCAGGTCAAGTCATCGTGGAAGAATCACGGGAAGGATTGGACGTGTCTTGATTACGATGAGGAAAGAGGTTGCGTTGCACTAGGCTCGGCTGCTGGTGCTGTCACTATCCTAGATATTTGAAATCTAGTCCATGCAACCAGCAATTTGTATGCTCACGGAGGACATGCTCGCCAGTGGCTTCTTTAAATCCCCGGTAGTTGTCAAGTAGATATGACGTTGGAAGCAGCAATGATATAGACTGCACATCTTTCTGATACTGTGGAAGTAAATAATTTCCTTTCGAGGCTACTTTTTAACGAGAGCCTTCTCGCCGGGATGAAGGGATTCAGCGAGTGCCCCACGCATAAAATGATTCCACTAATATACATCAGGAAAACCCTCCCTCGACAAATTATGTTAAATAACAATAAATGTCGATAATTTCTGACTATTATCAGACATTATCAGCCTTAGGAAGGTTATGGCGCATAGAAGTACTTTTTTACCCCCTCGAGAGTAATGTATAATTGTCAATAATTAGTTGATATCACAAGCAATTAGAGTGAAATTCAGAAAGAATATGTTGAATCACGAAGCGGAAATCAAGCATTTCAGACGGTGTTACAATAAAAAGAATAGCATTTGATTAAAAGACATATACAAAGTAACTAGAAACACGGGGACAAGCTGACGGAGACCAGGGTATATGAAAACGAGTGATCAACAAATCTGGGAGCAAACTGACGGAGACCAGGGTATATGAAAGGAGTGACCAACAAATCTGGGAGCAAGCTGACGGAGACCAGGGTATATGAAAACGAGTGATCAACAAATCTGGGAGCAAACTGACAGAGACCAGGGTATATGAAAGGAGTGACCAACAAATCTGGGAGCAAGCTGACGGAGACCAGGGTATATGAAAGGAGTGATCAAACAAATCTGCACTATTCACAGATCAGCACCATACTAGAAGCTAATCCTCACCCATGCCATCAAGGTCCAGTAGCGCCAACGCCTTTCGATGCTCATCAGCCTGATTATTGCCACCCTTTCATTTCAAGGCCCTGCCAGTAGTGTCAATACCCAAGTCAAAGTAGCACCATGCATACTAGCGAAACTTACTGAACAGACTCATAGATGTCCGCCATCATGCAGTGAAACTTCTTAGGCACGTCCTTCTTCAGATCCTCGAGGAACTTCACATGAAACATATAAGTTTCGCTGAATTGATTCCCCGTGAAGTTGAACTTCCCTGGGGAACCAAGCGTCTTCCAAAACAGGGCTGCATAGATCTTGAAGACGAGTTAGCACTGCGCAAAGAGATAAATAGAAGGACATTACTGCCGTCGCAACCAGCGCCAGCAATGGCACAGGCATTTCGGGGCGTTTGGCTTTGTTGCCGGCAATTTCGATGAAGCGCTCTGCGAATTTGACGCCGATGGACTTCGGGCCATTGAAGATTCCAGTATGCAGTAGAAAGATAACAAGTTCACCCTGGTAGGGTTTGTTTCCCCTAGGCGAGGGATTGTCATTGGACTGTTGAAGAAATAAAAGTTAGTTAGATATGTAGGAATACGATAAAGAACCCGCTTCTGAGTGTGAAGAACTTAGCGAGTGGCAAAGAATAGTACAACTTACATCAAACTTCAAAGAATATGAATACGCGTGTTGCTCCATAAGTTTTTTCGCCTTCACTGTGCTCTGGCCGAGACGGAAGTAGCCATCGATGTTGGCGCATGCAACCTCTTTCAGGTCACGGCGTAATAACGGGATGCGAGGCTCCACCTTGAGTAATTGAACATAGTTAGAAAAAAGGAAAACTGCAATGAGCATTACAAGACATACCAGGTTACCAAGCTGAGTCGCATACTGTGTGTCTTCTTGAAGACGTTGTTTGATGGCATGCGCACCACTTTTCTTGGCCACTGTAAGCAAGGACTGGAGCGCGACTTGATTTTTATCGACGAGTTCGGGATATGCATTGATGAAAATGAGGTGGCCCTTGGCATCCATAATTGCATCCCGGACTACTCGGCGAGTCTCTTGATTTTGATCAAGTAGTTTCACCTTCCCAGTCTCATATTGAATGAGACAAGCAGCACTCTTGGGCGCAGGTGTGGCGGAGGTGACTGTAGTGCCTCCAATGTCACTAGAGTAGGGCTCTTCGGATCCCCCACACTGAGTAGTAGTTTCATCAGTAGGCTCAGAACCATCATTGTTGCGCCAGGTTGGAATCTAGTAATGTTCACTGGATGATCGTCACGTGAGAACTGTTTATTTCGGACTCACCTCAGCTGCTTGTTTGCGATCTCGAGCAGATTGACCAGACTGAGATTTGCTCTTGCTGCGTGATTGAACATTGTGCGGCTTCATCTTTTTGTCACCCTGAGTTGGTGACAAATGAAGGGACCTTCAATATCATTGTGAGTGATGGCAACTGGCGCAGCTTAAGTAACCAATCGCTGACCTCATCGGCGAGCCTCATGGCAGTAGTCTCTTGTTCCTCGCCTTCACTCTCCTCGTCAGCATCCGAGTCTTGACCATTCTTACCGTCAACCTGTGTATCAGAGTCGAGCTCATCAGAGTTGAACAATGTACTGGCATTGACATCCAGCATCGCATATGTGCGACGAAGCTTGTGAGGTCGATACAAGCCTGCGCACTAGCATGAGTAAGACTTCCTTATCCGCATCTAGATAATCACTGACCTCGAGGTGTTTTAGGCTCCAAGTCCTCATCACCGGCACTTGATTCCTCATTGTGTTCATCATCCACAAAGGTATGCTGTCGCTCTAATGTTGTATACCGTTACTAATTTAGTGCTAATCTATGACTCATAAAATTAGTGATTCACTCGTCTTCAAAGGCAGGCTCTTGTCACTGCGAGCGGCTACATCTGTGTTGGTGATTTTCCTCTGTTTCCGATGGTTGCTGCCAGCACCCGAACTTCCTAGTTGAGTTGCCGGAGAAGCTTGATGAACTTTTCTGGTCGATTTCGGCAACCAAACTGCACTTACAGGTGAGCATTGAACATCAATATTGGCATATCGTATTGCTTGCTCACCAGCGTTTTCCATAGCTTTTTTCTTGGCGTTTCGAGCCTCTATCGATGCCCGAAGGTGAGAAGCAGGCATCTCTGAGTCTGCTGATGGCCACTCACCACGAGAATTAATAGGTGTGGACATTGTACACTAGATCGAAAGGGCAGGGACGACTTAACGGTAAAGGAGTGTGAAGATGAGAGAGTGGGAGGAAGTTTGTGAAGATGAGAGAGTGGGAGGAAGTTGAAAAGTTTGAGGGCACCTGTCAAATTTTTAGTGCATTTCAACGGCGGAGGCTGTTCAACTTTACGAGCCCTGACTTTAGTTCTCGTGAGCTCATCTGTTTTTTTTTTTTTTACCTCAGACTGACCCTCAAATGTTTTAGTATCAATTTACTAGCTTGGCTGTTGCACCGGCACTGTTTCTATCCCCCAACCCCCATCTCAGTTTCGTTTGACCTACCGAATAAACCTCCCCCGACCCCATCTCAGTCGTATCCCCCGACCCCATCTCAGTCATCGTACCCACCGACCCCATCTCAGTCGTACCCACTATCCCCCGACCCCATCTCAGTCGTTGTACCTACCGACCCCATCTCAGTCGTACCCACCGTCAGCCGTCAGTCGTCTCTCAGTTTCTATCCCCCGACCTCATCTCAGTCGTATCCACCGACCCCATCTCAGTCGTCTACCCACCGACCCCATCTCAGTCGTATCCACCGACCCCATCTCAGTCGTCTACCCACCGACCCCATCTCAGTCGTCTACCCCCGATCCCATCTCAGTCGTATCCCCCAACCCCATCTCAGTCATCTACCTAACAGTTTCTACCACCGACCCCATCTCAGTCGTATCCCCCGACCCCATCTCAGTCATATCCCCCGACTCCATCTCAGTCGTATCCCCCGACCCCATCTCAGTCATCTACCCCATCTCAGTCGTCATCCCCCGACCCCATCTCAGTCGTCTACCCCCGATCCCATCTCAGTCGTCATATCCCCCAACCCCATCTCAGAAATGTCGACAAAATGCCCTGCCTGTGCCCGCGACAATCTTACTGTTATTGGCCTCAGTCAACACCTTGCTAAGAGCCGTGATCCCCGTTGTCATGCACTGTACCAGCAATCACATACTCGTGTCAATTTGGACGAACCTCTCGATGAACCTTGCGACAAGTCTGAGGTGCCTGAGGGACCACATGTCAATATGTACGAGGAAGAAATGCAGGACTTCGAAGACAAAGTCCTGCAATCATTTGCCGAGCATGATGGAAATGGTGAGCATGATGGAAATAGCAGTGACGAGGAAGATGGTAGGGAGGAGTTAGAATGGGAGCCACCAGTGCAGGAGGATGAGGGATGGGCAGGGGTGGAAGTAGATGATCCTATGGACCACAACAACAGCAGTATCGACCGCGAAACGCGCCACCAGATTGAACGGCAAATCGCAGATCACAATAGAGTCATTGAGTCTTATCCTGATCGTCGAGCAGGACAGCCTATCGCCCAAGCTGAAATTCGAAATGTGAATGCTACATATGCTTCCAGTATCGACAACTTGAACGCGGAAAATCCTTATGCTCCGTTCACCTCTCAAATGGACTGGGAGGTTGCGCAATGGGCGAAGTTACGTGGCCCAAGCTCAACAGCATTTTCGGACTTGCTTAGTATTGATGGTGTAGGTTGTTTGTTTTAAGATTCACGGACTGAAAGTGACTTATGTTTATTCACAGGTTAGTGAACGCCTTGGTCTGTCTTACAAAAACGCAAGGGAGCTTAATAGTATCATCGACACGCAACTTCCTGGTCGTCCGAGGTTTCGTCGTGAACAGGTCGTTGTTGCGGGCAAAGCGTTTGATATTTTCTACCGTGACATACTTGAATGTATCAAGGATCTCTACGGCAACCCAGACTTTGCTGACTTTCTTGTGTTTGCACCAGAACGCCATTACACAGACACAGATAAAACAGTTCGGTATTTCGGCGACATGCACACAGGTAAATGGTGGTGGAGTACTCAGGTGAGCTCACACAGATTCATATCGCTTGCTCAATCATTGAATTAACCTTGATATTGAACAGAAAAAGCTCGACAAACAGCGGCCAGGGGCAACTATCGTTCCCGTCATCATTTCGACTGATAAAACACAAGTCACTGTGTTCCGTAACAAAACCGCATACCCTGTCTACCTTACTATCGGTAATATACCGAAAGAGATTCGTCGAAAACCGTCCCGACGCGCACAAATCCTTCTCGGGTATCTTCCCACCACACGCCTTGAGCATATAACCAACAAGGCTTCACGTCGCAGAAGTGCTGCAAACCTTTATCATGCTTGCATGTCTCGTATCTTGTCACCGCTGGAAAAAGCTGGTCTCGATGGTCTAGTGATGCAAAGTGGGGATGGCGTCTCGCGCCATTGTCATCCTCTCTTCGCTTGCTTTGTTGGCGATTACCCCGAACAACTATTGGCTACTGGTATCAAGACTACAGAATGCCCAAAGTGTGATATCCCACCTGACGAGCTTGAGAGTAGCACAACTCCCTTCGAAATACGCGATTTCGATGCTGTTCTTGAAGCACTCACCACAATCGACGTTGGAGCCCTTGAATTTGTTCAGGCATGTCGCGAGGCAGGAATCAAGCCCATTGTCCACCCGTTTTGGGAAAAACTACCCTACGTCAACATTTTCCAAGCTGTTACACCCGACGTCCTCCACCAATTGTATCAAGGACTCGTTAAACACCTTCTCAATTGGCTGGCAGAGGCATGTGGATCAGCCGAGATTGATGCACGGTGTCGAAGGCTACCGCCGAACCACCAGATCCGTTTATTTATGAAAGGAATTACTAGCCTCTCTCGTCTCAGTGGCACGGAACATGCCCAGATATGCCGTTTTCTCCTCGGCATAATTATCGACATACGACTTCCTGGCAATCTAGATCCAGCTCGTCTTTTGCGAGCTGTTCGTGGCCTCCTTGATTTCTTGTACCTGGCACAGTATCCGTGTCACAGTTCCGATACATTGTCTCTGCTCGATGAAGCTCTCGCCCTCTTTCATGACAACAAGCAAATTTTTGTGGACCTCGGTATTCGCAATAATTTCAATCTTCCGAAACTTCACGCGACTCGGCACTATGCATCTATGATTCGTTTGTATGGCACCACAGATAACTATAACACGGAGTACACGGAACGTCTTCATATAGACTTTACAAAAGATGCCTATCGTGCCACTAACCACAAGGATGAGTTTGTGCAGATGACTCGGTGGCTCGAGCGCAAAGAAAAGATCGTGCGCCATGATAAATTTATTCGGTGGCAACTCAACATCAATCCCTTTACCCACCATCCTCATCCACCCGACTTGTCTTTTCGCCGCACTCAAACCTTAATGAAGCACCCAAGCGCAAAAGCAGTCCCAATCCAAAGATTGATTTCAGACTATGGAGCCATCTACTTTCGCGAAGCTCTTGCTCGGTATATTGCCCAGCAAAACCATCTCAACGAAACCCTTTCCCGTCAACGTCTTGAAGACCTGGCTGCAAATGTCATTCTGCCATTTCGTTCAGTCGCTGTCCACCACAAGATCAAGTGGGTCTCCGTCAACACTCAAGGACATGGTGATCCATGTGTCACCGTTGATAGTGTCCACGCTAGGCCTGGTCACGCTGGAAGCTCTCAACGAGATGATGCAGTGCCTGCGCGTTTTGATACTGCGCTTGTCAACGATGGTACTGGTGATTCTGTGGGTGTCAAAGGTAAGCTCAATATTGACTGGGTCTTACTAGTTTTACTTATTCAACAAATAAATATTCAGGCTACCGCGTTGGTCAGATTCGCACCATATTCTCTATCCAACGACAAGATGCGCTGTCATTGTTCCCTCCAACGTCCCAACCTCCAAAACACCTTGCTTACATTGAATGGTTCACCCCGTTTTCTTCAATGCCGGACTCGCGTCATGGTATGTACAAAATTTCTCGTTTCATTCGTTCGGGCGAGAGAGTTGCTAGCATAATCCCTGTTTCAAACATTGCTCGCAGTGTGCATCTTATACCAAAGTTTGGACCAGTCGCACCTCGTCACTGGACAAGCAACACTGTCCTCGAAGAATGTGATACTTTTTTCGTTAATTGTTATATTGATAGGCATAGTTTTGTGGCCCTTAGATAGCGCTGTATAATGCTGCATAATTTTTTCTATGTTATGAAGGCTAGGACATTTATGTACGTCTAGCTCTAAAATATGGCAGTTTATCTGCTTTGTTGAAATTCTCTCTAATTTATCCTAAGTTAGCACGGGAGGTTTTCCTGATGTAACTATTGGTACACTTTCGAAATGCACAGCCGACATGTTGTAAAATGATATCGACGGGTGCTATTGGGGTACCATGCGTCTATTGTAGGAAAGTGAGGTATGGCATAATTTGTCTCGCCACCCGAAGTGTCGATTTCTGACCTCGACGTTTGAGACGAGCGGCCTCAGAGCGACGATATCATCAAGGTATTTCATTATGTAGTCTTACATAATGTAGACCCACGAGCTCATTATCATTTTATAATAGCGGCATCGAAAGTACGCTATGCTCACTATGATACCTCACTCAAGCTCTACACTTATCGACATCTACTCTGATTGATAGCGGTCGTAATTATCGTGTACCTCCTGTCCCCGCAAGTACCTCACGATGTACAATTTGTCACCCGTACCATCTGCGGATCCACCCACGGATCCACCCGCACCCGTGATACTCTGACCCGCGTAAGGGTGCGGGTAGTAGGCCGCCAAAGTTCCATCTACCAGCGGATTGGGTACGGGTGCCACCCGGGTTCGCCCATTTTCTAACTACACGGATGTAAGACCACTCGATAGCAACATGGAATCGATGTTCCAAGTCCCATCTTCGTTTGCATTATGATCTATCCTCTGTCGCTGCAGGCACTACTACTAATCCCTCATCTGCAGTTCTGCGAAGTCGAATGATCTCCCTTCTAAAACTTCCTTCCCATCCACATCCTAGTCCGAGGCAAAATCTGTCCATTATTTTTTCTGCATTACGAATACCTTCAAGTCAAGCAAACTCAGCATCATGATCAATATCACCAAGTGAAATTGATTCGGGACCTTTGAGATTGTCACTGGAGACTGCTGCAAGTGGAGGAACAAGTGAAAAGTAAGTTTCGAGTTGCTTGGCAACCTCTGTATTGATGCCTGGAAGTTTGGTCGTACGCATGTGAGCATGGTGGCGTCGTGTTGGCTTGCCGTCAGCAGCATTCTTAAAGGCGGACATGATAGCGAAGATTAGCGCGAACCTTGCCAAGTGTCTTGAGTATGCTGACAGAGAGATTGCAGTCCTTGACATGCGAGTGTGGCCAACCTCCAGACTTAGTAGCCACTGTAGAGAGTTTAAAGTACCTCAAATCACACTATCATACACTGAACTGATGCTGTATACTATTTAGTACATCCTCCCAGTTCTGAGTTCTGCCTGGCAGTGCCAGTTCTGCCCTGCTACGTGGCAGAATAACAGAGTTTGGCCCACAATACTAGATGCATTACTAACCGCTCAAAGCCGCTTATGCATCTGTCTTCGTGAATCTTAGGCGTCCCATTTGCGATGGTTCAGTCAGTCAGTCTTCCCTCTCTTGTTTCTCGCGATGTCATTCGCGGTCCCCTGGAGTTGGAGTTCGCATTGACCCCTGCGCGTGCTATGGCACAAATCACTCAGGCTACTGCCACCGGTGCCGCAGATAGGTTTTTCTTTAGATAACTCGTTCTTGCCACCGCAGCCCAAATCGGGTGGATTAGCTCAAGCCAGACTTCGTCGCCACGATAGGTCGGTTCCGCAAAACGTAAAACCTAGTTACAAATATGCCGTGGGGCGAGCTACAACCCGCAGTTTATGCGACCCGACGTGTGAATTCAGAGGCTAGCGTGCATCAATGTGAACGCAAATGATGTAGCGGGAAATGTATTGGTGGTGAAACACGTGGGGGAGGGAGAACGACTTGATTCGTACTGAGAGGAAGCTGACATGTCTTGGGTCAGCAGCATCATAAAGCAGTAAGGATTGCATTTATCCAGCTACATCTCAACTGACAAACCCCCAGATTGGTGAATCAGTCTCAATCCTGGAGCTACTCTGACGGAAGGCCATGGACCCCGTGACTCTGTCTCGAAGAGCAATATTCTCGCTTAAACGTTTGTAACATTATGTGGAGGTCAGTAGGTCAGTTGAACGCCATGCCACGTCGTATTCCAGCAAGGTCCAATGGGTCAAGCAAATCCAGGCCTACGAAAAGGTATAAGAAGGACCTCTGGACTTTTAATCTATGCACTAACTTCCTCTATCCTTCACTCATCTTGACTTCAAACATGCAGCGCTCTCTTCTGTTCAATGTACTTGCCTTCATGGTGGTTCTTGCGGTTGCATACCCCATGTCAGGAGCGATTACGGAACGTTCCTGTGGGTATTCATGACATCAGTTGCATTATAGTTGTTAACATATCATGCAGCTGTAGCTAGGCACGAGGATGAGGCCCGTGGCGTATACTTCCCGATTAGCTATGACAACAACAAGAAATGCTGTACGTATTCATGACCGCCAGTTGACACCGCGATGCTAACATACCTATTTAGCCGAGGATGATGTGATCTTGTACCCCATGTTACTTAAAGAACGTTCCTGTGAGTATTCGTGAGATCAGCAGTATCTTAGTTATTAAAAATATCATGCAGCTGCGCTTGAGCGCTGCAAGTACTCGTGACAGTCAGTTAACACCGCGACGCTAACATACCTATTTAGCTGAGGACGATGTGATCTTGTACCCCATGTTATTTAAAGAACGTTCCTGTAAGTGTTCGTGACATCAGTAGCGTTATAGTTATTAACAATATCATGCAGCCGCAGTTGAGCGCTGTAAGTATTCATGACTGTCAGCTAACACCACGATGCTAACATATCTATTTAGCCGAGGACGATGCGATCTTATACCCCATGAAACAATGAGCAATTCCAACAGCATCGGGAGAACTTGAAGGTATCCACTATTGTTAATCACGAATGTGGGGCCACTTTTAGCGAATGTTGATAACGTTTGAATTTACTGCGTTTGGTTTGACAATGCGTTGAGCATTATGTACCCCCGACTCCATGAAGTGAGGAGGTTCTGTCAGCTCCAAACGTACATCCAGCACCTGTATGCTGATGCGCGCCTGAAATGATTTCTTTTTTCAATCATGTCGCCGTTTTTATGCAAGAGTCCTTGCACCCGCACATACGTGTTTAATCTTGATGGCTGTCCTGTGATATTTTTGCTACAGCAACAACTTTCTGTGTGTGGTTACAGCGGACCCTTGCAATTCGCGCCTGCCAAATCTTCCTTCCTCCCACCGATGCTATCAGAGTGCTGCATCCGACGTTCTGGTATGCCTGGGACAGGATAACATCGTATTTTCATGCGCTCACTTTGAGATAGTGACATACGTGCACTGTGTTCCAGTATCATTCTGCCAATTGTTCAAAGATACACCTTTAAAATACCTAGTGTTGTATGAAATCTGCAGGCGAGGGTGATTCACTGCTAGACGAACGAAGAGGCTGCTACATTGCAGCTTGACCCTCTCAGTCTTCTAGTCTCGATTGGGTGCTTATTCGTGTCGCAATCGGGAACACCACTTACGATCAGACAACCCTCCGACAATCTGTCGTGTGGCAATCAGTGAGGCTGATATAGGAAACCACCAATATTCTTTGCAGTTCTGCACATCTCAATTGGCGCACGACGATGGCACCTCGTATGGGAAATCAGGAAAGAACATAACAGAGGCTGTGGAGGAGCATCTTGCAACGTCTGGTGAGCTTAATAGGAAGGTTAATTGTAGCAGCTCTATGTACTGGTTGAAGGAGTACTCTCTGCGAATTACAACGTGACCCAATATACGGATGCACTACGACAAGGGAGATAGATCTTCCAACAGAAATCTATAATTATTCAAGTAGCCTCTGATCCTCGACTTTCTCCTTGGAGATTGCAACCGCCCAAATATCCTGTACCGAAGCCCAATACCTCTCTGGCTCCACCCGGACGTGTGCTACATGTTCGCTCTCTTCAAACAGTTCGCAACGTGCATCCATTCCGCGTCCCTTCGCAGTCTCGGCATGTTGCGTGACATCTTGCCACGGAATCAATTTATCCTTGCGCGAGAAAAGATAGAGGCGGGGTGTGTGGAGGCCCATCCATGGTAGGACGCGGGGATTCCACATTTCGATCCGGAGGTTTTCCATGATCATTATTCGCTTACCCAATACCAGAGAGAGGCCAAGGCCGACGAAGTGCATTGTGTATATCATAGCAAGTACAATGACCCTGAGAATTGGGTTCCGGATGACAATGCTGAATGCGAGTTTAATTGTTTTTAGGTTACCTATTGCCGGGCACGAGTCGAGGATCAATGCGCTCGCGGTGAACGGTTGAATTAATGTGGAGCCATATTTCCGCTTTAGCATGTGTCCAAGAAGTGTCATTTGCAGGGAGCCTCCTGGTGATGCATGCAATGATCAGCCTTTTCCATATTCAGCCTGGGTGAACTTACCATTGGAAAACACGTGAGTGAGTATGCGGGGAGGCGGTTGAGCAGAAGAGGAAGATGGGAAGCAGTGCAGTGCTTCTAAGGCATCGATTACAGGCATGAGGCGCCGTTGCTTTTAATTGTGTGAGCTGAGAAGACAACAGCAAGGAATTGTAGGGTGCTCACTCTGGTACCGGTTGTAGTCCAGAACACGTCGGGATTGCACCGAACGACGATTTGAGACGCGTTTGGATATAATTTGGTATATGCATGGGTATAATTCTGCAAATGCCTAAGTTGTGCTCCCACTATAGACGCAACACGTTAGACAAGGATTTAAACAAAACTGGGATAGCCTACTCCATCCGAATATCAAAATGACGCTACAGAATGCCTCGTGACGCGTCAGCTTTTATGCTATCACGGATATTGACTCACTTTGGCAATGTAGTATCCTGGCATTGCTCGCAGGTACCCCGGAGATATATCCCAGTGCCAATTACACTGAACCCTTCCAGAGAGTGAACTCCAGGTTTCTGCGACATAATGGTGGAGGTGTGCACGTTAGTAAAACCCCAATGAAACGAAAAACAGTGACACGTGTTACTATAAGGTCACCGAGTTTACTCACGACCAAACATAATTATAACCGTCTGATTAGGCGCTCGACCTTGTCTGACATTGGAATTTGTAGTCGCAGTCGTAGTCATAGGCAAAATCATGCTTAGTGCGTCGTGCGAGATACAATGACAGGGCAATGTCCTTGTTTACCAAGGTCATGTCAATGGGGACTTCGGATTACTACGATTTATGTAATGTGCATGTGCATGTGCCAATCCAACTCTTACTCAGGCCCGGTAGTTCACACTTTCAACTGGCACTGACAAGCGCCTGTTCTTTCATATCAATGCTGGAAGTGGTATACTTATGACCCCTCGAATCACAAGAGAGTCGTGGTATACACTAACGGCCACCTGGACTCGGAGGTGCCGTCTAATCCATACCCTTCCTATCCCACCCTCGACCACTTCCCTATCCTGCGCCGAAGATCAGGAAGGTGCGAAGGTTTGGCTTCGCGCATTCGAAGACGCCAAAACTGTCCCAAAAAATCTAGTCGAACTTACTTTCTCTCGCAGTTCTGGTCCTGGAGGGCAGGTACATTCATATTACCCGTTTTCCATGTGAGAGTGTGGTGTACTTAATTGATATTGGTTAGAATGTCAACAAGGTGGAGACTAAGGTTTCTGCGCGCTGTCGTGTAGACGCACCTTGGGTACCGTTATGGGCGCGCGAGAGTCTCGTGAGGACGGTAATTTGTGGAGCTGGTCATGCGATTGTCAGACTGAAACGGTTTCATTCAAGCCATACTACGTCAAAACATCGCATTCTTTACTAGTTTCATCTAGCACGTCTCGTTCTCAAGCACGAAACATTGACGATTCCCTGGGCAAAGTCTGTTCAACTTGTCAACACTGTATCACAAACTGAACAGTCTCAAGATGCATGCTGTCGTGATGGATGCTGCCAAGAACTTCATCACTAGCGAACCCAGTGCGGAACAAAGACAGAGGGTTGCCAATCTAGAAAAGGCACACGACAATCGGAGGAGATTGGAGAAGGATAAACGCAGTGCCGTGAAGAAGATGAGGTCCAATAAGGGGTGGAGCGAATAGCATCTTGGTCAGTACGGTGCACGAGCTATGGGTACAAATCCTATCTAACTGAAGATTGAGAAGTTTTCATAACAGCATAGTAGTCTCCGTCGTATACGATGGCCGATATCTTTAACAGTATAGGAGTACAAGACGCAGGTCGAGCAAATTAATTAACTCGGGAATCGATATTATTCAACGCCTGGAAACGGTGCTACTTTATCCACACCGTGATGCCCGGCACCACATTCCAGAAACTGCGCATGAGGGCCACTGAGTTCTCGAGTGGAGCAAGGAAATTTCGGGGGAAGTAATCTTGCAGGAATAGGTACTCATGCACGCTTACACACCCTCCGCTTTCTGATGATGAAGCCCTTTTCCGCAGTAATGCGTTCATGCTGCTTCAAGCTGCCTCGTGAGCATGAACTTTTTGGCTGGCATCTTAAGGCTGCATGTTCATCAATCAAGGCATTCCTATTGTGATCCCGGCCATACCTGAAAGTGCTGGACTCACAACTCTCAGTTGGCCGAGGAACGAGGCCACGTGTATAAGTTCACCATACCCCAGTTTTCCGTCCATACATGACAACTTCCGTTCAAATATCAATGACGTGATCGATAGTACTTGACACGAGTGTCAGATGTCACCGTCATGCAAGATCATAGCGATATGTTCGAAGGATTGTCCACACAATCAACGTTGGACCTCTCATCGATACATCACAGGATTCTTGGTAGAAGTATTCCATCCTTTCGCAACAACAGACCTAACATTCGTTAGGATTCACCAGTCCCTAAAATTATCAGACGCAGTGACCACATCAACACAACCCTCCGACACGTACTGCCGCACGAAACATATCCCCCTCTGACTTACCTGTAGAGCAGGCCAATGTGGCAATTCTTCATTTGTACGATCTTCTCATTCATCACTAGATAGTATAATGCATACAAGGACCCTAGCCAACATGAAAACTGGATGTAGAGGACTCGTGTAACATTACAATGACAGGTTGTATCGATGTCGGGTTGATACCGATGCACAGGCGGGTGCCAGTATTTGAAGGAGTTGCAAGAGGTTGCAATTTTTTCTCCATCGTACAAGCTCTTCATCGTACAACACAACATGTCTTCAACAGCCAGATCAGTCTCTCGTTGCTCTATGCGCGGCTTATTCGGTACATTCAAGCTTGATTGTAAGGCCGCCGCGCTCGAGTTCGTTGGGACAACGTTGTTTCTACTCTTAGGACTTGGCGGTATCCAGGCGGCTACTGACGAGACCGGAGTCAGCGGCACCACTATCGAACATGTGATGTATATCGCGACATCCATGGGTTTCAGCCTTCTGGTCTCCGCTTGGTTGTTCTACAGGATAACGGGCGGCCTCTTTAACCCCAATATCACGCTTGCACTGTTTCTAGTAGGGCTGGTGAGCCCCGTGAGATTTGTGTTGTTCTGTATCGCACAGCTGGTTGGAGCTATTACTGCATCAGCGCTGTTGCTTGCCCTGACCCCTGGACCACTGTATGTTAAGTAAGTAGTTGTCACGAACTGGTGATTTTGTCAATCCTAATCGAAATATACGCCTTCCCCGATAGCACATTCCTACAAAAGGGAATCAATTCGTTTCAAGGCGTTTTCATTGAAATGTTCCTCACAGCAACGCTGGCTTTAGCCGTTCTGATGCTAGCCGCTGAGAAATCCCAGGTTACTCCGTTTGCACCAGTAAGGATGATTATCATATCCCATCATAATAACGCTGAATGTTATGCATCAGATTGGCATCGGGCTGACGCTATTTGTCGGACATTTGTGAGTGGGTTACCTTCCTGTGTATTAGTTGTTGAAATCGTCCATACCTGGCGTAGATGGGCCATATTTTATACATGTGCATCGATGAATACGGCACGTTCATTCGGGCCTGCTGTCGTTACTGGGTTTCCTTACCCTGACCATTGGGTAGTGAGTAAATCAGACTCTTCACGGGCGCGCCCCTAAGCTTCGCCTCATTGTAGTATTGGGTTGGTCCGTTTCTTGGCTCTCTGCTGGGAGCTGCTTTCTACAGTATGCTGAAATGGTAAGTAAGATCCACTCGCTCACTCACATGTACTGACGCGCATGACAGGATACATTATCAAGATTTGAATCCTGGGCAGTCGTCCACGCAGGAGAAGGATTCGCCGGATCCAGTGCTTACCGAGGCACCAAGTGACACCGAGAACGCTTGGCATAACGGAGATGTTGCGGGAAGGAGTGCGGGAAGTGTGGGGACATGCAAACCGTAGGGTTGAATGTAACAATGAGGCCTTTTCTCTCGGAATAGAGATATATATGAGTATCAGCTAACTATACCAATTTGTATAACTCACACACGCAGGGCGTAGACAGTGTCTTCTATGTACTGATAGATGGCGGTTCGAAATTTATCTATAGAAAGTTTTGCAGAGATTCCCTAAGGCTGTTAAGCACGAGGCAAACCCTAGCTGAAATGCTCGTATGATTCCCAGAGGGCATTATAAATGAGCATACCCGAAGGTTACGAGTGCTGTCAAAGAATTTGCTTCAGAGTAATTTTTAAATAACGAGAGCCATTGCGACCTTCTCGCCCTATAGTCCCCCCTTCCATAGAACGAGCATGTTGAGTAATTCATCTTCACAGAGGAAGTATGCGGAAGAGAGACAACTTACCAAATATTTTCAAATACATAAATGAGAAGGGATTTTGTTCGCCGCTTGAACGTTCTGTTTCAAAGTCGACGTTCATTCACGTCGAACTTCTGCCCTATGAGGCTGTGACCCTCACTTAACATTTACAAAAAGAACGACTCCCTTCCGTTATTGGTCTACCTACAGAAGACTCGAAACGTCTACGAGCTACTACAAGCCAGGTTTCATGATCAAGCCTGCACTCCGAATATCTTATTATTCTTAGTTGGATACTTGAACTTGAATCACACCAGCATCATCAACTCAATCAAATTGGACTAGGGACTTAGTCTTGTCGCCTGCAGTCAATCTCCATGGGATGGAGGAGTATCTCATAACCTAGTGCACGGTCTTGGCGCTGTTATGCTTCGCTCTCCGCTCGTTCATATCTCGCCTCATACATATCAGAGTGCATACCCAAATGCATTAGGGGGAGGTGTACCTGTCTTATCCAGTTCTCTGACAACATCGGGACGACGTTAAGCTGTGCGTGTGTATTCAGATAAAGCAGACTTCGGATTGATGGAAACTTGTTACAGTCGCTTCCATTAACATCCCATATAGCGACATGCAATGGCTAATGCCTTTAGTAGTCCAGCTCGTTCCAGGAATTCTACTCATTCTCCTCATGCTTCCACAGCCAGAGTAACCACGTCGGATTATCGAACAGGAGCATTATGAGGAGGCAGCAGTAACCCTTGCGTACGTTGTTCGAACGTCACACACCGGGAGTTTGGGAGTTTTTCACTATGCAAGATTTGTTTCGAAATGTTAGTGATAAAGTTGGCATTCTTACTATACATTTTGACACGGTAAAGATGAAAAAATTGGATGAGTGGCCAAATCCTGGGCGAAATTCTACATTTTATGAATCATTTTGACGTTGTAAAAGACATTTCACCGACAGCAAGATCTGAAGAAAAATGATCGAACATTTTGATTCAAATCTTGCACATAGGGTAAAATTCCTTTCCAATTAGGTAAAATGTGTTTCGAAATTTTTATTTCAAATTCTCCTCAAATTTCACCCCATGTAAGATTTGAATCAAAATGTTCGATCATTTTTCTTCAGATCTTGCTGTCGGTGAAATGTCTTTCGTTTATAACGTCAAAATGATTTATAAAATGTAGAATTTCGCCCAGGATTTGGCCACTCATCCAATTTTTTCATTTTTACCGTGTCAAAATGTATAGTAAGAATGCCAACTTTATCACTAACATTTCGAAACAAATCTTGCATAGTGAAAAACTCCCAAACCCCCAATGTGTCAGTTGATGATAAATCTGTCCTTATTCTGGACAAGATCAAAGTGGACTTCTTTGCTGCACTTGGTATTACCGGTACGGCATCGGGTTCTATGGTGTCATATATGTCGTCGCGGTCGGTCCTACCCTAGCATTTGCCGTGGACTCCTGGGGACGCAGATGTATCTCTTAGTGGGTACCCTTGAGCAAGGATTATCACTGCTTTGGATCGCCGGCTTCAGCACTGTCCACCCACACAGCACCATTTTTTTCCTGAGTCAGAAGTCTATTGTTGCCGTTTACCTCTGGTGTAATTTTCTGTCCCGGCTGGGGACTTCTGCCGCGAATTGTAGCCAGCGAAATTGCTCCCAATTATCTCTGCGGCCACACCTACTGTCGCGATCTGCGTGAACTAGCTGATGCCGTTCACAATATCGCACCTGACCCTGGTGATGCTCTAGAGGATCACGTTATCACGTACAGAACGTTCCTGCTCCTTGGCGTGTGCTGCATGATCATGGTAGTGTGCGTGTATTTCTTGCTACCTAAGGAGTATGCATTAGAGGATATCACGTATTCCTTTGAGACGGATGTGATGGCGAAATTTTTGGAGGATTCGTATTGAAGTCGCTGATCTGCAGATTTGATTTACATGAATTGTTGCTACTGGTACGTACACATCATCTAGGGACGAAGGCTTCTCTTACGCAGGAGAAAGGCTTCGGAACGCTACTGCGCATATGCACATACAAGCAGAGTAGTGTGTCAAAACATACGGCCCAACAATGGTGAATACTCTTATATCCACCTGTCGTACTTCAACTGCCAGCCCAATATCATCACTGCGAGATGTGTAACAAATTTTGAGTCGCCTGCAAGTTAACTAACGGTCCAAGGGAAGAAATGAGGGCGCCATATTCTGCTTGCTGCTCGTCCGCCATCACTCCGACACGAAGAACCAGCCTCTCCAAGGGAGAATTTGACCGCGCCAATAATGCTTTCAACTCCTCGAAGCCATCCTGGTACATTGGAGCATCGAGTATGCGTAAATTGGGGAATGAGAGGGCGTTGAAAAAATCAGGTAACTGGTTTGTGAACCCATGGCATAGTTGATGCGCAAGAATTGAAGTTTGGTGTGTGTGAACGGTGTTAAGTCCTGTATTTCGAAGAACGATATACCAATGCTTAACGAGGAGAGGTTGGGAGCAAGTTGGAGCAAACGAAGGCATGCAATTGAGTTGTATATGTTGATCCTGACATTTGTCAGGTGAGGCAATACGGAATTAAGAATGTCTAAGCGCGCGAGGTCAAACAATGGCCCAATTACCTCTAGATTACGGAGAGTGGAGGGCATGCATGGGAAGAATTGTGTAAGGGCTGGCTCAAAAGGACCAACCATCCTTATGGTCAGCTGCTGCAGTTCTGAGAGGTTTCTTAACACGAGTGCAGGTTTCTCGGCGTTTTCCAAAGATAGGATAGAGAGAGACGAAACGTGCTTGAGGTATGGTTGAAGAAGGCTTTGTAGCTCCGTTAAGACATGCTCCTGCCACTGAAGCGCCAACGAGAGCGGACGTCCTCGTGAACGCTTGAGCCATGTGTCATAGCAGAAAGCGTTGTGCTGCCAATCTTTGAGAAAGACTTTGATAGACAGTCTGCACCATAGACTTGGCATATCCACAGCAACCTCCCTCCATCGTCGGCATACCCTGGTCAGTAGGATGGGAGCCATATCTGGTGTGGGCGACAAGTGCTTGGTGTCCGGGAGACAGTAGTCGAAAATATGGCATAGGACTTCAGTTGGCAAGCGCCAGATTGAGAAAGCCAATGGAAGTCTCTTGTGCAAAACCATGGACTGCATAATTTTGTGCTGCTTTTCGACTCTCAGACATGGCTATAAAACTGAGCACTTTGATGCAACGTACGATGTTTTGTAGGGTACCCAGTCACTGATTTCCGAGACCAATGAGACGAGTAAGTTTCAGCGAGTGGGTTGAACAAACGCTATCAATTGATGTTCCTAGAACAACGACACAAGTAAGTCTAGTCTACATTAGTACGAGCCTAGGTACGAGTGCATGCAAGAATAAACATACCTCAGCGAGTGCAGGAATAAACGCTGAGGAAAACAAACATACGAGCACACGCTACTAATGTAATGCGGTGGCTGAATGGCGATGCTGTATAATACCAAGAAGCAAGAGTGATGGGAAATGAGAAATTGGTTTTTGAATTGGCTGTCTGCATGTTGTTTGCCAACGCTTGTTTGAGGCTGATGAAGTGTACGTAAATCTACTGTAGTGGCTTTTGTAATGCAATTATCATGTCCACGGAAACCATAACAAAACGCCTGCACATATCTGGTCTCACAACACCCGCCATCACACCCGCTGACCTGGCAAAGCGACTCGGTACCTTTGGCAGAGTAATTTCGCTCGATGGCTTTGGGAAACTCGATGCACTAGGCCAACCGAGGCCTTTCGGTTATGCGACGATTGAAGGTCACAAAACAGACTTGGCGAGGTGTAAGTTTTCTTTCTTTTTTGTGAATTTTATGGCTGAAATTGGCCAGGCGTAAATGTACTCAGTGGAACAGTATGGAAGGGCGCCAAACTCCGTATTGGAGATGCAAAGCCTGATTTTCGTGAACGGCACGTCTTCACCCTAACTCACTCACTTCCCACTCACTCTCCAAAACAACAGACTTGCCTCCATTCCCTCTCCACCACACAAAAAAAGGCGTGCCAATTCCAAGGTAGGCATCCATGCGCCTGACATGTCACTGGTCACGCCCGAGACAGCACGTACCCGAGGGGGATGGAGGGTCACCGAGATGGGACGTGTGGTGAGAATAATGCGCATGAGACCTGAGAAACCCTTGGAGCCGCCCCGGGTGCTTACCAGTGCAGGGAACAAGAAGTACGACAAAGATGGGAAACTTGTGACAGGGAAACGCAAGAAACGCGTCAAACTTCCCCCCACACGCACGCGCCGCCGGACGATTGATCCAACGCGCTGGGACTCAACACATCTGAAGGGTATCTGGTTGGATGCTGAGGTAGCGGGCGCGGTGGATCTTGCAGAACACGCCGGTGGGCCTGTAATCCCGAGAAAAAGACGTGCTGAGGTGTCAGAGAACAGTGACAGTGAACAAGACACCGAGAGTCCATCTAGTGATGATGAAGATGACCACGAGTCTTTATCGCTGCCGGTCCCAAAATCTACTGTTTCTCCCCTCTCACCACCAGAACTATTACCCCTTCCCACTGCTCGTTCACCCGTGACTGAAGCTGTGACTGAAGCAATCCCCTCCCTCGCGCAAGAAAAGCTCACCTCTCTCGCATTCCTTCGCTCCCTTTTTGGGGACGGGGACGAAGGATGGGGTGGACAGGAGAGCTTGTCTGATATTGAAGATGCGCGTCTTGGGGGTAAAGGTAAGGCGAGGGAGCCTCAGACTGGAACACGGATGAATGTGGATGAGGGCGAGATCGAGATCGAGGAAGTTTCGCATGCGAAATACAAGGATACAAAAATGGGATCAGATACAACAGTATCTCCGCTAAACTCCCAATCTCGCCCGACATTCACGTCAAAGCCGTCTGCTCAGGATCAGAAGCAAACAAAACTGAAAGATCTGTTCGCACCGAGGGAGGAGGAAGGTATGTTTTTGTTTCATTGTATACATTCATTTTATTGCTACACTTGTTTTTGTGTTTCCCCTTCTAATGTCCCCATTTTTATTCCGGTCGATCTTCATTGACCACGACCCGCTATAGCTGGATTCTCATTACTCAGTCATCTCGACCTGGACTTTGAGGAGGAAGACATACTCGGGATTTCAGACCTTCCCCACCCCTCACAACCACATCACGCGCTACCTCACATAGTCTCCGTTCCTCACGAGCAGCCACAAGCGCACCCAACGCTGGACTCGAGTTTCCCCTTCTTTTTCCCTCTCCCGCCAACCCTCCGTTCGCGTTCCTCCATAAGAAATACACCTCGAGATATATTCTCCCTCTTCCCTCACGGGGGCAAAGAGGAAGACAAGAACGAGGAGCCCTTCTCCTGCACCCAAACTACCTCCGAAATTCACTCCCAGTGGGAAGCCCAAAAAGGTGCGCTGACGAGGGAGTGGAAGGCTCGGTGGAGAGAGGCCTCGAAGGGTAAGAGAGGAAGGGACGAGTGAATGTGTTGGACTCGGGGAATTTGGAGTTAAGTTCACACTCTAAGAGCATCCCTCCAGAGTCTGTATTGCGGGCACCATCAAGATGTGCGCTGTGCCTTTCTTCATCGCACATGCCGAAATTTTGACTGTTTAACTGGCTAGGAGGATAGTTGATGTACTACGCTTGTGAAGACGGTATATCCTCAATATCACTTCGGTACTACTTGCAACCCATTTACCCTGGCCGATCCCCTGAGAACGTGTGGTCAAAATGTGATCCACAGTCCACGTCATATACGATAGGTCAGACACTCTTGCGTCGATAAGTCAGGAACATTGAGTATGGCCTCCGCTGGCCTTGTCTCAATCAAGAGAGAGAGCTCCGACTAGAAACGAAAGGAGAACTATGTAGGTAGTTAGAACGAAGATATCATGTATCGGTAAATACTCATATTCACCTCGTCTTCAAATTGAGAGACTGAGGAGAGTTCGTTCTGGGGATGCCAGAATAAAAGAAACCTGTTGGAACGGAGGACAAGAAGGGTATGTGTAGAACCCGTATAGCAAAGAGTGATTGTGTGTGTAAAGTAAAGTATGTACGACAAATATTGTGTTTTGATACCTCGAAGATAACCAATAACACGTCCCTTTCGATTACCTTGGTATCCCATACCCGTCCCGCTGACGCCCAAACTACATCCAATCAGAAGCTTTTGAATGGAGACTAATCCAGCCCTGGTGCAGATGGTCCGCTCACAGCGGGAGACAACATCCGCCGCGGAGGCGCCCCTCCTCCCGGCATCCCACCGCCCAGCATAGAGGAGATCATAGCTCCCAATGGATTGTCAGGCTGAGTGCGCGGGGAGGAATTGCAAAGTACAACGTTGCTATCTCCTGTAGTGTCTAAACGATGCGGATTGTTTTTAGAAGATCAAGCAAGCAATAACTATTTGACTTACCACCCGAACCTCCTTAGTCGCTAAGACACCACCTTTAGCTTGGTATGTTCCGCAAAGCCTTACCCAGCTCTCGCGCATCACTTTATTCTTCTCCCCATTCGCACGTTGACATGTCAAGACAGCAAGCTGACAGAAGTTGAGCACAGGCTCAGTCGTATGTGTGATTTCACTCGTAGGGGTGACAGGTAATGGAGATGTCTGCAGTGGCGAAAGCAGATTCGGTCGAGATGAAATCACTTGTGCAATAAAATGCGAAATGAAGGTGCGAGCTCCGACGATGTTACCATTTTGTAGATATCTGTAGTGGGATGCCATGAACTAGAGAACGAAGGAAATAACATGGACGCGAGTTGCGACTTACGGAAGTGTGCCTCGAAGAGCAAAGATCCCTGGAGCTCCGCCTGCTGTGGACCATTCTACCATCATGGTCGCTAATGAACGTGCGCTATCCCTTTTGCCTGACGCGAGGAAGTGAGGCTCTGCCGCATCGAAGGCCCCATCTACGCATCATGAGCACGACGGTCACTTTTGTAGATGCTGTCATATATATACCCTTATATAGGAGCTCTCCGATATAGTGGTGCAAGTCCTGGTCACCTGCGGGACAATCACCATGTCTTGCTGACCATCTACACGCATTATGATAATCAGCCCTGGTTCCGATCCGATATGAGGACAACTGTACGATATGGATCTGTCAATGATCGTTTTCCTCCATGCCCCGGACGATCCAGTCAGCGCGATGAGTTGCGTTAGTCTCCCTGAGCAAATCGAATCAGTGACGTATTCCGCGGGGGATCAGGAGCACGCACCTCGAGACTCATCATCAACGACCTCGCCCTTGCTTTCATATACTTCTAAAAGGAACAACGTCAAATCTGTTCCACTGCCCTGCTGGCCAACTTTCAGAAGTTCTCTCGCACTCTGGAAGAGCACGTCGATGGCAGTGTCGTACTGCCCAGACTTGCTGTACCGTGAAGCGAAGGTGCGCGCTTTCTGGTGCGCTTCGTAGGGCTGCCCAGACGCGACGAGTGGTAGGATCGCGTTCAGGGCGCGAGAAGATGAACTGGATACTGCAGGCATCGCCGTGGTTAGTGATGAAGGGTAGGATATGCATTTCAGTTGGATTGCATATGTTCCAATGTTGGTGTCAGGGGTCCTGCTCGGCTTACTCCAACCTGTTAGACCACAATCCAAATCAAATCTATACAAGAGGAACAGGAAACTATGGAAGACTACGGGATACTATATGCCATCCATTTGTCACCACTATGCTCGTCTCCACCCACCCAATTCTTGAGAAATCCCGCAACAACTGTTTTCGCCAACCACCCAACAAGGATCACCACTGTCGTAAAGACGGGATGACAGTCGAGCACAACTGCGAGGGAAGCGTTCAGTGAAGTGCGGATTGCAAGAAATATAGACCGCGACAAACCCCGAAGTCCAAATCCAGTCGCCATTCCACCCAAAACATTCCTAACGACCCATTCACGATCTAGTTTGTCCTCATCCCATATCTCGAGGGCACGTGTGACAAGAGGGCTGCTGTAGTATGAAGGATCCCAGTAGTATGGAGAACCTCCAGGTTTGGACGCGGAAGGGCGCCATATCGTGAGCAAGAAGAGAAGGAAAAGCTTTGTGAGGGAAGAATAGAAAATTGTCAGAGGGACGAGCGAGAACCTAGGCTTGCAGTTGAGGTATCAATAACTACAGCAGATTCTGAAGCTCACTTGAACTGTTGTCGAACACCTGATATTTCTACTGGCGAAGTACTTTTTGAACGAAAAAAATCCGAGAGTGCCAGTACAAAATAAGATGCAAACATCACTCCTCCATGAAATGCAAATGTTTCTGCACAAGCTGTGAGCACAACACTCGAATAAGAAAAACATGCATAGTACCTATAAGGCATCCAATGAGGATCCGGAGAAAGACGATGTTGGTTTCAACTGTCCACCGTGAAACGTCTGCGGATATCTGAGGATCTAATGTACATGAAAACACGACAACCTTTGAACAAAAAATAAAACTTACTGAGCTGTGCCCACCGAATAACTAAAGTAAATGAGCCGGAGTGCATGATGGGACTCGTGGCTAATGACTTCACGTACATGCATCGACGGTGATAAGCCCGCAGGCAAGCTTCAAAATAAGCCACCACCTGTCCTACAAGCCGGGTACTCAGCAACGGTATCATCGACAGAATTAGCAATCCCTCACTTTCTGCCTTTGTCGGCTTTTAGTAGCAGCCAGTTTGTCCGCACCTTCCTGACTGCCCTCGAGACCAGTCTTGCTCTTCCCGAGCGCCTTTCGCGGCTCCGTCCCTCTATTATATATCAAATGTCTATACACTTCTCGTTTCAGTAGAATAAGGTCCAAGAGGAGCGTTAGAGAATCGTGTTCGACATATGGATCTGCAAATTTCAGGCATCTGCTCTGCCGAGGACTCTCGCGTTAGAATGAAACAAAAATGAGTGACATCGCACACCAACGCATTGTTCAAGTCTCAGGTTGTACGCAGATTCGTAAACTGTGTAAAGGTGCGATATGGGGTGTGTGCAAGTGATACAAATGGCCATGCTAGATTAGGAAAGTGACAAAGTTGTAATCAAGCCTGGATTAAGCTCTAGTGTTTCGCTTTGACACCAAGACAATGGATCATGTACAATCTAAGCAACACGTCCTACTTGCAAACTAAAGCTTCTTGACAGCCTGCCCTCTGGGTTTTCCCCTGACTCAGATGTTATCAGTTCGCAGATATCATTTCTAATAAGAGGCGCAGTGTCGGGATGCACTAGTACCGACATCGCACTTTTAAAAGGCCACTACAGCTCATTCCAACATCAATTCCCGAATTGCACGATGACCATCGAGTACACCATCGGGTTGGTAAGTCCGCATTTCTTGGAATCCAGATAACATTGCTCATCTTTTCAAAAGGCACCATCCCCACCAACCTTATTGAAGGACAAAATCATCTGCTTGTGGGACAGAGGCGACGGAGTGCGCTGCCACGACGTCCTCAAAGGCGACGCGTTATCCTTGCACCTCTGTAGCGTTCACGGGTGCCGGGGGGCTGACAATACCACCCTGACATGCTGGTGGGATGGCTGCGCACAACACATGGAGAAGTGCGCCATTGTCAAGCACATCCAAGACATACATCTCGGCGTAACATATCCGTGCCGGCGATGCGGTGTGACATTTACAGGAAAAGGAGCTTTGAGCTGCATTTGCTGGGTTGCCCGGTCCCAAAGAAAAGAATTGAGGTAGAGCTATTTGAACGTACACTCGTCTTTGAACGATCGCTGTGAGTAGCTGGTGTGTTTGCGGCGGTTCCTTGATTATCCTGTTCGCATGAAAGGAGGTTTATGTACATTTGCTAAAACGAATCTGCAAGTGACCTTGCGCAGAGAAATCTAGAACATTAATATCAACATTTGTGAGCGTGCTTGGTCGAAGTTGGCTAAAGGGTCGATGGCTTCTCAGCCCATCTTCTAGGCTGGTGTAATTCCCTCATGGTAAGGAGGTCATAGGCTTCCTGTAGATCAATCAGAAATGAGGCACTTAAACAGACGAAACTGGAAGCACCTACAAACGAACTAAACAAACAATTTTCAATCATGAATGGTAAGCTGTTCGCAAAGGATTTGCGACCATACATATATGATCAGTGATTATTAAATGCGTTTTAATTTCGGTCCATGAGGCGGAAGGGAAGAACACGCAAGGGGCCATAGTGATTCCCGTAGACATGAGAGCAATTATCCTCGGATATAGCGCACACGTATAATGGCATGCTACTAGGATACGCCGCACACCACTTACGCTATGAAAGGGAACATCGCCTTCCTATCCTTCGGGTAATCGCTCCCAAACTCTTTCCTATATGCGCGGTGCTTCTTAGTAGCCCAGACATACATCTGATATGTCGAAATGACCAGGAAGATCCATGCTGGTCGCGGACCATGACTTCAAAACAGAAGCAAAAAAAACAGAAAGAAGCACATACCAACGTAGCTTCCTGTGAGAGCCGCGATGACCAACCATCCAAGGAATTCGAAGAAGTAGTTCGGGACCGAGACGAGGTTGAAGCCGTACCCTTGGGGAATGGCGCGTTTGCGGCTTCCTGCAGGCCGAAGTTTACGGAGCTTGATGTGAGTGATGAGATTAGAGATTTCAGAGAACTACAAGTAGGCAGGCGTTCAGTGTGTCAAAATACATATCAAAATGCTGAGACACGCACCAGCCAGATAGCAGCGCCTGCTTGAATGTACAGAGGATCATTGCGAACTGTGCCACGGATGTAGGGCGAGGCAGCACCATACACAGGACTGTAAATGCTGTACGCAAGGGCAAGACCTTATATAGAGTCAGCTTGATTGCTGTCTCCCAATACACATAAACATACCACTTCCAAGGTGATAATGAGCAGAGCTAACAAACACGTCAGTCTACCAAAGCAGCACGTATTCTCAAAGTGCGTACTTCTTGAAAATATTCATGAAGGGCATGGTCGCATGCGAAAAACGATGTACGAACAGCGTTTCTACCTCACGTTTGACGAAGTGCAGCATGACAAATGCTAATACATAGCTGATCACGCTTGAGCACACCATTTAAACCAGAAAGTTATGCATGCAAATACCGTTGAAGCATACTGTGCTGCACAGGACCGCCGTAAAATATCTTGGGGAAGTAATAGATCACTGGGTGGATGAACAATGGGCCAGCCTGGGGATAACATGTCGGTAGCTCGCAACCATGAATCGTGCAAGACACTCACATATTCAACCAAGAATACAGTCTTCCAGCTAATTTGGGGTCCAAGGTCTTTCACAGACAACTCCCCGCCTTCTGCTACACCAGCAACCTTCAATGTAACGTCATCAGCTAGAATATTCTTGGAATCCTTGAGGGTAATTTTTTGGCGGTCCAAGTAGAACTTGAAAATGTTTTTAGACGTCCGGCTGTGTGGACAGGAAAAGACCTACTCTGGGATATTTTTTAGCTATCGCACTCTTGACATCTGCAATAGTCGCGTCCTCGAGTTGCTTCCCTGAAAGTTCCACGACCATGGGGAGGCCACGAGCCAGAGCAATTGGCTTCCCCGCTGCAGATACGTTTACGGAGACCATTGCGTCTTATAAGTTCTATAACACTTATAGTGCTCCAGCGGTTGTCAGTCTCGTGGGATCAAGTTGAAGTGTGCTACGCTAAGAAACCGGCATTTTGTGAGTTACCGGATTATTGCTGTTTTAGTTAAAACAGCCGCTCAGGTTCAAAGTGGCAAGAACACACTTCCGGACCCTTGAGTTCTACCTCCTCTTGCAATTGAAAGCTTTCAGCTCTTTTCATATCAATAGACCCTCTTACTGCTTCTATTCAATCGTAGAGCTAAAGAAACTTTCAGATACTTTCGTTGGGCGAAATACCCTTGAGTGGCAAGGGCGCTCTACTTGGACAGTTTGTGATTGAAGGTGAAAGTCCGATTATGCTGCATAATCCTAGGGCTATCACTTGTCTGAGTTCAGACATGCTACTTCTACTTTCCAGCCCTTCCATTCATCTGGCCCAGGTGGTTGCAATGATAAGAAGAGCAGGAGGGATGAGGAGTCTATTAAACAAGTACACTACATCATGTTAGACTTTGTATTGTATAGGTGATGAATTCCTACTCACATCTCAGTGTCTTGGAAAAGAACTGAGATGCCAGGACACTGCTACTGGTGTTTTTAAGGTAAGTATGTTGATGACAATAATGTATTAAAATGAAACAGAAAAATAAAGTAGGATGCAAGCTGATGTCACTGCATTGCTCGCCTTTTGTCCCTTTTTGGCTTGTGCTCATACCTCTATCTCTCATTACTCACTGTGTGTGCCTTGCTTGGATCCATTGGTCTTCCTTGTCTCAGAACTCTTGGATTCCAACACTCCCCCTCAAGCACAAGCCAGGCTCATGTGGGTCCTCAACTTTTGCAAATGGGGGCATGGTAGTGCCTTGGTGAAGGCATCAGCCACATTGTCATCAGTGGGACAGTAGTACAGCTTGAAGATGCCATCTTTGACATGGGCCCTAATAAAGTGGTACTGGAGGTTGATAGTGCTGCTGCAGTCCAGTTCAGTCCAGTTCTTGAGGGTGTTTTGTTGAACCTAGAACTGAACCTTGGGTCCA